GTACAGTTTATGAGAAAAGAGAAATAAAAAAGCAAAGTAAAATTCAAATAGTGCATTTTGTTTTTAGGGAGATAAGGAACCAATTTTAGAGAGATAAGGAACCAAATCTAGAGAGATAAGGAACCAAATTTGGGGAGATAAGCAACCAAATTTAGGGAGATAAGGAACCGAATTTAGAGAGATAAGGAACCAGATTTAAAGAGATAAGGAACTAAATTTAAAGAGATAAGCAACCAAATTTAGAGGGATAAGGAACCAAATTTAGAGGGATAAGGAACTAAATCTAGAGAGATAAGGAACTAAATCTAGAGAGATAAGGAACCAAATTTAGGGAGATAAGGAACCAAATTCAGAGAGATAAGGAACCCAAATCTAGAGAGATAAGGAACCCAAATCTGTAGAGATAAGGAACCAAATTTAAAGAGATAAGGAACCAAATTTAGAGAGATAAGTAACTTGTCATGTGTCAAAATCTTAAATTCTTTCCTATCTCGTTTGTGATATCAGAGAAAATTCTAGGACGTTTACATTGGAAATTTATAAAGACTAAAAAGCAAAAGTAGTTTACCAGAAGAAAGCTATTGAAATCAAGCTTTTCATATGTAAAGAAACTTTAAAGATTATTTCTACAGTTTACAAAGTTTTCATGTCTCTTCCTTGAAGAAAAATAATAACTTAACTTTGAACTTTTGCTTAAAGCTAAATTGTTGAATGCTAAACTGAATGCTAAATTGCTTCAGGATTGCTCAGGTCAGGATTGCTCAAGTCAGGATTGCTTAGGTCAGGATGGCTCAGGTCAGGATTGCTCAGGTAAGGACTGCTAAATCTGTGGTTCCTCTAAACAATTGGTTCTATAATTTGCTTGGGCAGTGTATTCTGTGGATTGAATTTTGAAGTTATATTATATTATTATAATCAGAGATTGAAGCTGTTTCTTGAATGCCTCACTTTTCTACTTCATTATCTTTCCAAATCATTTCTTCACCCTTTTTCATTTGTATTATTATAATCAGATATAGAAGTTGTTTCTTGAATGACTTACTTTCCTACTTAAGTTTCTTGGAGACTTCCTTTCCTACTTAAGTTTCTTAGAGACTTCCTTTCCTACTTAAGTTTCTTGGAGACTTCCTTTCCTACTTAAGTTTCTTGGAGACTTCCTTTCCTACTTAAGTTTCTTGAATGACTTACTTTCCTACTTAAGTTTCTTGGAGACTTCCTTCCCTACTTAAGTTTCTTGGAGACTTCCTTTCCTACTTAAGTTTCTTGAATGAATTACTTTCCTATTATCTTACTATTATCTTACTATTATCTTACTTCCATTATCACTTACTTTAGTTTCTATTATCTTTCCAAATCATTTCTTCACCCTTTTTCATTTGAAACATCATCATGAAACATTTCTCCTTTATTATCGTTTTATTTCTTGAAAAGAACGGGTTTCTTTCTCATTTCTAATCCACTTTCTGTCATTTATTTGAGATGCCATTAGCTTCTCGATTAAAAGCTTGATCCAAAAGCTTTCTAGAATTTTCCTAATGCTTAGTCATCACTGATCAAACGTTTCTTTTGAGCTTTTAAAAACTGCGAAGCTTTGTCATTCTTCTAGTAGACTATTAGAGTTCTATTAGACTATTAAACCTCTATTAGACTTCCAAGTTAAACGATTTTCGACTTTTCCTTGTCAACTTAAACAGTTTAGTGCTTGGAGAACTTTTGGAATTAGCTCTGTTTTCTCATTAGCTCTGTTTTCTGTTTTCTCGCTTCTCGTTTGATTCACAAATTTTAAATACCAATAGATCAATTTGATTTTGGTTTTTAGATAAGCAAAGGGTTTAGATAACTAAATTTTTTTGTATTATAAATGCTTACAAAGTGTTTCTTTTCGTTTCTTTTGTTTTAAAGTTTTCAGAAAACGCTTCTACATCGAGCAATAAGCAATAACAATAGAAATTCCAATGTTTCAACTTTAATCAAGTTCTAGCAAAAAATCTAGTGGTAGTTTTTGGATTTAGTTTCTTTATAATTAAAAAAAACCTTCAAAACTTTTCTTGTTTATCCATTGACGGAGAAACGTTGAAAAAACTGCGTTTCAAATTTGCTAAAATGAAAGAAAGGTTTTGAATACAGTCGAAATTCGATCCAACGAATTTGAAATTTTAAAACTTGCGCGAAATTCCTGCATCGCTACCTCAGCCAAATGCAATCAGTGAAAGCCTGAACCAAATCTCAACCAAAGCTGGACCAAATCTCAGCCAAATCTCAACCAAATCTCAGCCAAATCTCAACCAAATCTCAACCAAATATCAACCAAATCTGGACCAAATCAGGACCAAATCTCAACCAAATCTCAACCAAATGCAATCAGTGAAAGCCTGAACCAAATCTCAACCAAATCTCAGCCAAATCTCAACCAAATCAGGAGCAAATCTCAACCAAATCTCAGCCAAACCTCAACCAAATCTCAACCAATTCTCAACCAAATGGGGCAGGGCAGCAGAAAATTTGAGGCACGTTCGTTCGTTTTAGGCTCGTTGTATCGAAGTTTTCGCTTCCAAGCGATTCGTTCTATCAAAGTTCGACTGTATTAATGTGACTGTCGTAGCTAAACCTAAACCACAAACTTCTCTCTTCGACTCATTCATTGAATTGATTTCCCTTTCGAAAACATCAACAACACTTCTTTTCTATTACATATTCATCTCCGATTCTCCAAATTTCTCTTTAACCCATATCTCTTCATATTATTGCTCTCGAAAATGATTCTCAAGGGCATTCCACCATTTTCTCAATCATTCGAGAAACACAAAATCTCTTGGGCAAAAGATCTCTCGCAAAGATCTCATTCTATACATATTCTTATCATTTTGAATCATTTTGAATCATTTTGAATCATTTTGAATCATATTATATCATTTGAATATCATTTTGATTACTTAATTGTATCCTTTTTCCTTTTTTCCTTGATAACTTTAAAGCTATTTTCAAAATCTTTCAAAATAATCTTTCAAGCTATCGTAAATACTGTAATAGAAGCGCACTTTCCCCTCCGTACAGTCGCGTAGTCGATACTTTTTTCTACCACAACTTTTGCATTAAAAAGTACTAGATTTCAAAGGCTATCTTTTTCAAAGGCTATCTCCAAAGCGCATATTGTAGCACAAAGCAATGCCGAGAAATGAGCGTTGGATTACGCAACTGTACAACCGTAATTATGGGTTTGCCCTTCTATTACAGTATTTATGGTAAGTGAAAAGTTTTTCTGACTTTAAAATAAATGATTTTGTTGAATAGCTATCGTAAATGCTGAAATAGAAGGGAAAAGTACTGTAATAGAAGTTTTCCTGACTTTAAAACTTGATCATTTTACATTTTCAAGAATTTTAATGACAAGAATTTAAGTTATTACTTTAAGTTATTGCTCACGTTATTGCTTTCAATTTTGTTTATTCGAAGTTGATTACATTGAAACTTGTATTTATAAAGATCTTTCCTTCAAACCTATAAGCTTTTACTATGGGGGATTACTGTGTTTTCTAATAGTGGTGCACCCCAGCGAGCCGAGTTGATGCCTATTTTACGGCTTCCAAAGTTTTCACAGAAGCTCAACACTCAAATCCCCCACTAGATCTCATCGTCAGCTACATTTTCCGATCCCACATCGATAGGTTCTGATAAGCGGTTCACGAGATTTCGAGCAATTTAGGCGACGCTCTTGGTGCACCACTATTAGAGAGAATACGGGATATATATAAAGAACAATAATAGCTTTCAGGTCCTGAATAAAGTATCTATATATTGAAAGCTAACATTTTGCTTCAAATACAAATCAAATAGACAAATGTTTTCCCGCAAAACAAAGATGGCTATGATTATGTCCGCTGATGTTTATCAGAAAATCATTTACCATATTCTCTCTAATAGTAGTGCACCGCAGCGAGCCGAGTTGGTGACTATTTTATGGTTTCTAAGTTTTCACAGTAGCTCAACACTCAAATCCCCCACTAGATCTCATCGTCAGCTACATTTTCCGACCTCACATCAATAGGTTCTGATAAGCGGTTCTCGAGATTTCGAGCAATTTAGGCAACGCTCACTACTATTAGAGAAAATACGATATTCCTCTTTTCTATAGCATATCTAAATCATTCTGAAATGGGAATATCTAGTTTAAGGATAGAAGATGTTTAGTATAGTCTGCTTATAGTCTAAAAATAAAAGTAGATTAGTGAAAAATAAGAAAAGCATATAAATTCAAGTTTCAACATTATCAAGTATAAAAAGGCTAAATCAATAGTTATTCCAATCGTTTTTGGGATAGAATTTATCCAATAAATCTAAGTTTTTTATGATTTTCAAAGGGTTATTTTATATTTTATTTTATTTTATATATGTCGTAGCCGTTTACGAAATTCAGCCGCTAACGAATGATTCGTTAACGGCTAGCGAAAAAGTTCATTCGTTAACAGATAGCCAGCTAGTCGTACGACATGTACGACTAGCTGTAAGTTCTTGTAAGTTCGTACGACTTGTAAGTTCGTACGACTTGTAAGTTCGTACGACTTGTAAGTTCGTACGACTTGTAAGTTCGTACGACTTGTAAGTTCGTACGACTTGTAAGTTCGTACGACTTGTAAGTTCGTACGACTTGTAAGTTCGTACGACTTGTAAGTTCGTACGACTTGTAAGTTCGTACGACATGTAAGTTCGTACGACATGTAAGTTCGTACGACATGTAAGTTCGTACGACATGTAAGTTCGTACGACATGTAAGTTCGTACGACATGTAAGTTCGTACGACATATTCTAAAATCCTAAAAAATTTGATTAATTTAGCTTCTGTTTGCTTACAGTACAGAAAGTTGAAACTTTTATTTCTATAAAATTGAAACTATTGAAGCTATTTGAACAAAGTTGAAACTTCAATTTTTGAAAAATTTTTTTTCTAATAAATTTAAAACTTTTTCAGTTTTAAATTAAAAACTAATTTCAGGAAGAAAGCTATGTATTCCCAACTACTCTCGTGCTTAACGTTCGCCTTGTTTCTTATGGAAATCAGTGAGTTTCAGAAAAGCTACGAAAAATAGCTCAGGGAAAGGCAACAAGTCAAGAGGAAATGAATTTGATTTTGATTATTATTTGATTTTGATTATTATTTGATTATTTGTTCCTTCAGTTTCTTTATAGTCAATTTCTTTGAAACTTTATGTTTAGCAAATAATAATCTGAAAGATAAAGCAAATAATATTATGAAGCTTTCATTCAAAGAAGGCTCAAGAAGCTTGATTTATCTCAAATTCGAAATTCAATCAAACTTTAAAACAAAAGCTATTCAATTAAGTAAATAAGTTGATTTTGATCTGCTTAATGCTAAATTCAGGGTCGAATTGCTAAAAAATGGTCGAATTGCACCTCGTTTAACGACTAAACTCTTAACAATGTTGAAACATTACTTTTTTAAAAAGCGATTTTTTGCGCAAATCATTCAGACTAACAATAGAAACTTTTTTTACATTTAACTGAAACTTTTTTTTGAATAATTTGAAACCCAAAAGTTCGCTCGATCTTATTTTAATGTTAAAGTGTTAAAGTAAAGTTGTTTTTGAAAGTTAAAGTTCGTTTCAATCAAAGTAAAATTATAAAATACCAGCAAATTTACCGGAATACTACCTACCGTAAATACTGTAATAGTACCCCAAGCCCATAATGACGGTGCGGAGTGTTGCGTAGTCTAGTTTTGAACGAGTTTTTCTCGACACTGATTTATGCTACAATGCGCGCTTAGGTATCAAAAAATAGCTGAAATTCAGGGCTATTTTTTGATACCAAAGACCCATTTTTTGGAAGTACGGGCACTTTGAAAAAAATGAAATACTAAAAAACTTTTGCGACTACGCGACTGTACGAGGGCGGTGGGGTACTATTACAGTGTTTACGGTATCATATTTCTTTAGGCTGTTCCCCAGTGCAAGTGACGATTCTCACCGATACGGCAAAAGTCAGCTATTTAGCTAAAACTTTACGGAAATTTTACGGAAACTTCTTATGAAATTTCTTTTTATTTTAAAAAACAAAGAAATATTATACAGGAAGGACTTCATTTGGGACCGTACGATCGAACGAGATTCGACTTAATCGAGAGCTATAATCCATTGGCAACAGCCGGTTTTGCAAAGAGTTTGTTTCACAAATAGAGCAGAGAACTGCTCAAAATGAGCATTGGTTCAAAGGGGATTCTTTAAATTCTTTAAATTCTATAAATTAAATAAGACTTATATTCAACTATAGCCTTTATTTTGAAACATTTAAAGTAGTGTTGAAGCTTTGGACTGATTCTTAAAAGTGACTGTAGTTTTGGGCATAAGTTTCGGTTTATGTGGAATACGTGAAGTCGAACAAGATTCGATTTAATCGACAGCTATAATCCATTGGCTACAGCCGGTTTTGCAAAGCTTTTGCAAAGCTTTTGCAAAGAGTTTTTTTTCACAAATTTTTGATTCTAATTAGAGAACTGCTCCAAATTAGCATTGGTTTTCATTTTAAAAAAGAATTTTGCCATTTCCAAGACCCCGATCTAGCTTCTTACCGTTTATAAACACTTTAAAACACTTAAAAAATTGGTTTCAGTGCTTTAACAAGAAAGCAAAAAGGTTTTGGGAGTTAGAGGATTCGAAACAGGGAACAGAGATTCGAACCAAAGCAAAGCGCAAGTATAATATCCGCCACACCATCAGGTCACTTGCAAAAGGAAAGTAATCCGGCTTTATACCAAGGCGGCGCTGTTTTTTTGTAAAAAATGCCATGACTTTAAAAGTATTTTACTCGAAAACTGGATTTTATGGAGTAAAAGTATTACGAAAATGTTATGGAGTAAACTAAAAGCAAATAATTGTATTTCAAGCCTCTTAGAATTTCAAGCTGGAGTTTTTTCACTAACTTTCATCTCCCAACTCAATGCTAACAATGGAATGGTCAGAAGTTGAGGTGATTGTTTGGGATGAGTGATACCTCATTGGATAGATCTCATGTTGGATATTGATGACGAAAAAAGCTGCCAACTGATTAGCTGCCAACTGATTCAGTAAATAATGACTCAAAGATCAGAAACGTCATTTTTACTCCTTGTCGGCTCAATTTCTCGTTGTAGAGTTACTTTTTGGTCATCAATATTATCAATCAATATCATGAAATCTATTGAATGAGGTATCACTCATCCCAAATGATCACCTCCACTTCTGGTCATTCCCTTGTCACTCCTGATCATTCCCTTGTAACTTGGAGCAGTTCCCTAGTAAGCCTAAAGGCTCCTCGAGGTTTCGAGTAAAAGAAAATGCATTTTCAAAATAACAAAAACGTTTAACAGTTGAGTAGAAGTAAATTGAAACATGGAAATCCTTTAGGAAACATAATCGTTAGCTTTCTCTCTTTAAAGGAGCTTTAAAGGAGCTTTAAAGGAACTAAATAGGAACTATAAAGAACTAAATAGGAAATTTTCCATAATAAAAGAGATTGTTTTGACAAATAAAGGAAACTTGAAACCTGAAACTTCTAAAAGTTGAATCCTCCCAAAAAAAGGACAAATTTCAGGAGTGGACACGTCAAATTTCAAGGCAAAAAGCGTCGCATCGAGAGCGAAAGCGAGTGGCGTGAGAAATATTTTCAGTGCAGGTAAAAGATGATGTATAATTGGAAAGAGAAAGAAGAGAGAGGTTGGGAACAATGCTTTGAACCAAGAACTGAATTAAGAATTGTTCTCAGAGCCAGAATTTCAGACATGCTTTATAAAATTCTTAATGCAAAGGTTATTGAAAATTTAAAGTTTCAAATAATTGTAGTTTAAAATCGAATTTCGAATCTTAATCAAAAAACCCAAAAATTCCAAAAAGGTGCTGAAAAAGTTGAAAAAAAAAATGGGAACCCGTCAAGTTTTCCTGTCAAAAATGTAATTACCGAAAAAGCATATCGAATTTTCGAATCGAAAAGCAGTCCAAAAAGTCCAAAAAGGAAATCCGGTAATTATTGAGCAATCAAATGGAGAAATTTGAGAAGAAGTTTAAATTTAACAAGATTTACCTCATCGATGAAGGATTAACGATAGCATCTCATAAAAGTTATTATTAAAGTTGAAACATTGTTTTTACAAATCAAAAGGACTGAATACCCAAACTAGACGAAATACCGTAATACAGCTAATATAGACTGAATAACTTAATCTAGACTAATCTAGACTGAATACCCAAACTAGACTAAATACCGTAATCCAGCTAATCTAGACTGAATACCCAATCTAGACTAATTCCCGTAATCCAGCTAATCTAGACTGATTGGAGAATCTCAAACTTAACAAGAGTTACTATCTCGTCAACGTCGTTAATCAATAGCCTCTCACAAAACATATTATTAAAGTTGAAACATTGTTTTTACAAATCAAAAGGAGAAATTTGAGAAAGAATTTCAAATTTAACAAGATTTACCATCTTACAATGTACATTTACAATGAAGAATTAACGATAGCATGTCACAAAACATATTCCTAAAGTTGAAACATTGTTTTTACAAATCAACTTACCATCACTTATCACTTAAAAATAGCTTTGAATCAAAAAAATTGATTTAAAGATAGAAATTTGCATCAATTTTGACAAATATCAATTAAAAACAAGCCCAATTAGCCCAATTAACTCAATTCTTCCCGATTACACCGCACAAACATTGAAACACCGGATCTAAAAACAAGTTTTTCTGAATTTAATCAAACTTTACCAAAGAAGCTTTGATTATTGAAAAGTTTTCGTTCTCGGTGCCCAATACTTTGCAAATTTGAAATCAAAATGCGTATTAACTAACTAACTAACTAACTAACTAACTAACTAGTGCTAAGGGTTTAAAGAATACGATTCTATAAATTGAACAATTAAGATAGATTATTTAAGATCAACTCTCTTTGCACTTTCTAAGTCTACTCAAAGCTGATTTTTGATCTCTTAAACTTTGAAATAAATAATGTTTTACATTGATTTTTAGTTGGCGAGGACTCGGATTTATTGGGGAATACGGTGGAAGCATTTGAGCATCAAACGCCCGGCCAATCGATCAATGAAGATGGAGGTTTGGTTTGGACAAATGAAAGAGCGTAACCATCTTCGTCGCATTGGTACTACTGGTTGTGAAATTGTTAATGCTTACTTTGAAACATTAGTTTTTGAAAGCCTGATGGAGGTTTGGTTGAAGCCTGATGGAGGTTTGGTTGAAGAAATGAAAGAGCACAACCCATTGCCTTTTGATTAGTAGGACTAGTTGTGAAATTGCTAATACTTACTTTGAAACATTAGTTTTTGAAAGCCTTCTTTTTTGTAAAAAGAACCCTAAGCCATTTTATAGTTATTTGTTTGAGTTTGAGTTTGGGTTTGAGTTGAGTTTGAGGCTTGACCTCAATAAGAAACAAGGCGAAGCACCAGAGTAGTTGGGAATACATAACTTTCTTCCTGAAATTAGTTTTTAATCATTGACCAATCATTGACCCAATCATGTTTGAATTTTTTAAAGTTGTAGAAGTCGCCATTCTTCAAATTAAATAAGACTTATAGTCAACTATAGGCTTTACTTTGAAACATTTAAAGCAGTGTTAAAGCTCTGAACTGATTAAGACTTCAAAAGTGATTGTAATTTTGGACATTACTTTGGGTTCATGTGGAATACGTGAAGTCTTGGACTGAATACATTTAAAAGTGACCGTAAATTTGGTATTTTTTACCGTAACTATAATTTTTATTCATTTTTACTATTAGTTGAATGGAAATTTGCGGTATTAGCAACGTTTAGCAAAAATTGAAGCCGGTAATTTTGATAAAAAGTGGAGCCGATACTTCCAATCACTTTCTAATCAATTCAAGATTTTCTCATTCAGCTGTTCTCGGGGAATACCTTGAATGGGGTTCGTGGTCAAATTGTGTGAATGGACAGAGGTACAGAACGAGAGCCTGCGTTTCGAGGAGAGCCGCCAGGAGAATAAGATGCGATGGAGCGGCGAAAGAGGTGCAACAAATGAAAAAGATATGAATTGAGCTTGGAAAAGCTTTTAGCTTTGAGCTTTGAGCAACGATAGCTTTAAGAAAGTGTTAAGAAAAGGAATTTAAGAAAATTTAAGAAAAACTTCATGAATTTACTTTAAGAAAAATGTTTATGTTTCAAAGAAAACGATTTACAAATTCGATTTTCAGAAATAATTCAGCTTTCTACTGAGTGGATATTAGGTTTATTAAAAACAAGTTTATGTATTTATTTTTCTTTTTTTATATATATTTTTCCATTGTTTTGTCAAATTTAATTAAATTCATCATTTTTTAGACTCAAACCTGTTTCTCAGTCGAGGAATCGAACGTTCGCGTGGCCTCGGATCCATGGACAATCGAGAGGGAAATCAGTGGACAAATGATGAAGGTTTTGATTGAAAAACAAAGCATTAATAATATATAAAAAAGAAATTAGCATAAAAATAGCATAAGAATTAAGAATAGCAGTAATATCAACATTATTGCAAGTAAGACGAGTTTTCTTGTGCTAAGTGATTGCTTAAATTGCTTCAATTGCTAAGTGATTGCTTCAGTTGCTTCAGTTGCTTCAATTGCTAAGTGATTGCTTCAGTTGCTAAGTGATTGCTTCAGTTGCCAAGTGATTGCTTCAGTTGCTAAGTGATTGCTTCAGTTGCCAAGTGATTGCTTCAGTTGCTTCAGTTGCTTCAATTGCTAAGTGATTGCTTCAGTTGCCAAGTGATTGTTTCAGTTGCTAAGTTATTGCTTAAATTGCTTCAGTTACTTCAATTGCTAAGTGATTGCTTCAGTTGCCAAGTGATTGCTTCAGTTGCCAAGTGATTGCTTCAGTTGCTAAGTTATTGCTTCAGTTACTTCAATTGCTAAGTGATTGCTTAAATTGCTTTAATTCGTTAGTGTCGATCACGAATACGTTGAAATCAGGTTTCCTAATGTTTTTGGCTCTTAGAGCCTGAAGATTTCCTTCTTGAAGAAGAAGAATTCAGTGTTCTTGATCAGTTACTGATTTGAGGGATTTCCTTAGCTATTTAATTATGGATAGTTTTCCTTTCGATTACGACGAATAGTTTAAGGATTGCTTCAGCTTAAACCTCTGAATTATTATTGGATGTTCAGGCTATGCTTTAGAATAAGTTAAAGCCAAGTAACGCCAAGCAAAGCCAAGCCAATGGCTTTCAATCATCTTGAAATTTCAATCTTACCATTGAATTCGGCTTGGCTTAGCCTAGGATTTAAGAAAAGTTTAAATTTTGAGTGCTTTTTAGCTCAAAAGACCCTTCACTCTGCCATACGCTCGCGTGTTACCGGTAAACTTAAAAATTCCAATCTTGTGTGCGGTATTTCACAAGCTATTCTATTTTTCTTAAAACTGACAATTGATTAGCCAACATTGGTTGCAAAAAGGTTTATTAAAACTTACAAAAATCCTTTGCTTTTGATGGTTTTTAAAGAAAAATCACTTTTCACGAATTAATTTCTCCACAAAGAGCTAACTCTTGTCTAATTTGAAACTTAAATTAAATTTAAACTTAGATTTCATTTAAAATTAAACTTTTCATTTAAAGCTACTTATTTTAAAGAAAAAAAACATATTTGAAGTGGTATTTCACAAGCTATTCTATTTTTCTTAAAACTGACAATTTCACAAGCTATTTTGAAGTGCTACTAACGCTTTTTTGTTTGCATTAAATTCAAAAACATTTACTTTTCAGACTCGTCACACGAGTGAAGTCTGAGCTTCAAATTCTTCATTCAAATGAGCTTCGAATTCTCCAAAAACATCTCCTTTTTTTTTAAACTTTTGTGCAATATTTCATTGAGCTTTTAATTTGATCACTTTTAAAATTCAGAATAAATCTTGAAGTTCTCTGATTGATTAGCCTGTTTCAAGCTGAAGCTGAAGGTGAAGGTGAAGGTGAAGGTGAAGTTGAAGATGAAGCTGAAGCTGAAGGTGAAGGTGAAGCTGAAGGTGAAGGTGAAGGTGAAGCTGGAGCTGAAGGTGAAGGTGAAGTTGAAGATGAAGGTGAAGGTGAAGCTGAAGCTGAAGGTGAAGGTGAAGTTGAAGATGAAGCTGAAGCTGAAGGTGAAGGTGAAGGTGAAGGTGAAGGTGAAGCTGGAGCTGACGCTGAAACTGACGCTGAAACTGAAGCTAAAGAAAGTGAAGCTTTAAGCTTAATAAAGGAAACATTGTATTTGAGAACATGCTGGAGATAATTTGATGAAACTTTAGAAACTTTAGAAAATTGAATGTGAAAATTGCACATGACTGTAGTTAGAACTATATACCGTATTTACTCGAATAGAAGACCGGCCTCGATCATAAGACCGTCTCGAATAGAAGACGGGGTCTAGGGGATGATCGAAAAAATAGAAGACCGGTCTTCTATTCGAGTAAATACGGTAATAACTCATTTCCGTTATGGAATCGATTTTCATAATCATACCTTCTTTCCAGTAAATTTGAAACAAAGCTTTTTTTGACCAGGCCTTTTTTTGACCAGAGCTTTTTCTTTGCATCAATTGATGTATTTGTTGTTTATAAATGAGAAAAGGAACAAAAAGACTAATAGATTCCGATGTAGACTAATGTAGACATAAAGACTAATAGATTCCACAATTAAATGTGAAAAATGAAGGGATAAACTCAAAAATTGATCATTGAAAGATGGAAAATTCTACTGAGCTCTCGAAATGCTCGATAAAACTATATGGTAACTTATTTCTCGATTTCCATCTCGAAATTTCACTACCATTTTCACAATTTTTCGGTGGTTTTCGATGAATGGTCTTTGAAATGAAATTTTTCCAAAGAGAGTTCACATTTCTTTTTTGTGTGAATTTTCTCCTTTTCCTGAGTTCTTTATTCATCTTTTTTTCTAAAGGTTTAGTCCTACTGTTCGTCGGATTTTCGAAGACTTTTGAAACGATGGGAAAATAAGAGAAGAGAAGAGAAGAGAAAGAGAAGAGAAGAGAATAGAAAGAGAAAATAAGAGAAGAGAAAGAAAAAGAAAATAAAAGAATAGAAAGAAAAACCCCTCGATTTTATTTTAAAACCCTCGATTTTCTTTTTTTTGCATTATCGGCAAGGTTTAAATGCTCTGAAGTAAACACTTCGGAGACATTTTCCCATTTTTACTCTGAATTTTTAAGTTGAGTTTCAAAATTGTTAAAGTCTAAGTCTTTGATCGAAAACTAGTTTCTTTCCAGGTTCAAAAACTTTCTATTTCTTTCTAAATCACTAATTATTTCTTAAAAAGATTTCTTTTTAGAATAGAATAACGAGATATCTTTTTTATAATTAAAAAATAGATTTTTAGACGTATTTTCTAACATTTAACTATTGGGTTGGTGAATTGGAAACTGCGGGCTATCGTCATATGTGACAGTTTGAGCACTTTCATCAAAAGAAACCCATTTTGGTGTCAATGGAAAAGTTGTAGAGAATCAAAAATCAAGCTTATACCCAAATTTCCAAAAAGATACACTTAGTAGTTCCGCTTAAAATTTGTGTGTTCTGTATGTTCTTTGGGCTGCGCGTAATCGCTCGTCGCCTGGCGCAGGGCTTTAATATAACCCCCTGCTCTCTCTGGGCTCTAATCTCTTCTGGCCGTTTCCGAATCTTCAAGTTCGACATCGACTTCTCCGCAAATCAAGGCTAATCTCGATCTATTGGATTGGTGAATTGAAAATTGCGGGCTATTGTCATATGTCACCGTTTGAGCACTTTCTTCAAAAGAAACCCATTTTGGTGTCAATGGAAAAGTTGTAGAGAATCAAAAATCAAGCTTACATCCAAATTTTCAGAACGATTCAAAAACTGCTTTTCAAGAAATGCCAAATTTACGAATTTTCACAAAACTTGCATTTTAAGCGAAACTACTAAGTGTATTTTTTTGGAAATTTGGCTAGAAGCCTAATTTTTGATTCTCTACAACTTTTCTATTGGCACCAAAATGGGTTTCTTTTGAAGAAAGTGCTCAAATGCTCAAACTGGGGCATCTCCAGTCCTCCATTTTTGGGTCTCACACTTGTCTCACACACAAACCAAAATCCTACTACGAAAGAGGAATCCGCAAATTGCCTGTAAAATGGGCAGAAGTCGTCAATAATAATGGAAATTATTTGGAATGAATTCATGGTTTTATGTTGAATAAATTTTAGTTCAAAGTCCCGAAGTTTTCAATTCACCAACCCAATAAATTCGAGTAAAAAGCTTTAGAGTTTGAAGGCAATTTTCAATTGAGCTTCAATTTTTGCCAGCTTCAACTTTTCTCAGCTTCAAATCTTTACTTGAGTCTCAATTGATGTGATTGCTCAGTGGTTGAAAGAAAAATGACTTCTTTTCTGATACTTTTGCACATTTTATTCAACACAAAAGATTTTAGCTTTAAAAATGACGCCAAAAACGTTTCTCCTGGTTCTTTTCGGGATTGCAGGGGCGGCTCGATCGAGAGTTGACGTCTTGGTAAGGGGAAAGTGGCTGGTTTTAGCTGAAACAGCTAAATTTGCTTGTTTGTATCTTTATACTAGAAAAAAAGCTTGAATTTGCTATTAACTTGTTCGGATTTTAACTCAATTTAACTCAATTTAACTCAATTTAACTCTATGTAACTCTATTTAACTCAATTTAACTCTATTTAACTCTATTTAACTCTATGTAACCCAATTTAACTCTATTTAACTCAATTTGCTATTAATTTGATTCGAATTTAGCGCTCAGTTTCAAAATTCATTCCACAAGGCATTTACATTTGGAATATTTGTGGGTGTAGAAGTGTATTGATGCTTGCTAGCAGTATTGTACCTTGTTTCACATTTTTTAAAATAGATTTTAAATAAAAAAACCTTAATTTAGATGTTTTTTTAAACATTCTTTCAATAGAATTTTGTTATTTATCATTTCGAAAAGTTTATGTTTCAAGTTATTTAATGAGTAATCATCTAAAGATAAATTAGTGGAATTTAAGACTACAAAATTAAAAACAAACCCCACTTACTCCTTAGTTACTCCTTACTTGCTCCTTACTCACTCCTTACTTACCCTTATTTACCCTTACTTACTCCTTTACTTACTCCTTTACTTACTCCTTACTTACTCCTTACTTACTCTTACTTACTCCCTACTTACTCCCTTACTTACTCCTTTACTTACTCCTTTACTTACTCCTTACTCCTTACTTACTCCTTTACTTACTCCTTTACTTACTCCTTTACTTACTCCTTACTCCTTACTCCTTACTTACTTACCCCACAGAAGTAATCCTTACTTACTCAATATCAATATTTCAAATTTTTCCATCCATAAACAATTTAAAATATTATATTACTAGAAACACAAAATGCTAAACGTGGAAAAACGTTGGAATTTCTTATTTTAAAATCCTTGACGATGAATGAATGTGAATGTTTAAAGTTAGGCAAATTTTAAGGCATTCAAATTCAAGCAATCAGCAAATACGTCATTAGAGAAACAAATCCAAAAATGAAATGCAAATTAACCAGAACCATTTTGTAACATTTTAAAACATTTTCCTCATTTAGGAAGGGGATACGGTGAGATTCCTGCCAGCTGGGGAAATCTTTCAACGCGATTGCGTCATGGGGAATCAAACGATCACGTGAGTTTCAAAAAAAAAATGATGGGAAAATTAAGAATTGGAATTTTTATTGCACAAAGCTCTAAGAAAAAAAGAAAAAACCCAATCTTTTGATTTTTTCAGTATTTGAGTTGTTTGCGATTAATTAATCGTAAGAAACGCCATTGATAATTAACTAAGTTGAAACATACAATTTACAAAAGATACAAAACGGTCCAAATCAGCTAAAGCTTACAATTAGAGCGCTTTTAGTGAACTTTGAAAAAGCTGTAAACCTTTAATGTGTGTAAATCTTGTTTATTATTGATCTTGTAAACAATTTGATCGCAATTTTAATTCTTTTCTTTTAGCAAATGTAACGAGGAAAAGCCGGAAAATTGCGGGAAATGGATTGATGTTGGGGTGAGTGGAAATGACGAATAGAATAAACAGAAATTGTTAATTAAAGTTTAGAATTGAAACATGGACTTGCTTATTGTATTTAGGTTGCTAGCAAAGGTATATTTTTACTTGAAAGGCTTTGACAAGTCATCTTCTAAAACAATTACTTACTTGGTTGTCTATCGTCGACAAACTTGCAGCATAAACTTGTATAGTTTTGTTTAAGCTTTTAAGTTTTTCATAAAGATTATAAAAGTCTGTTTCAGGAGTATTCAGAAGTATAAAAGTATGATTTTTTTAGACTTTTTGTTTTCTATTTTGTAGTTGAACTGAATAGCTAAACCGAATAGCTAAACCTAATAGCTAAAGTAAATAGCTTAACTGAATAGCTTAACGGAATAGTTAAACTGAATAGCTAAACTGAATAGCTAAACTAAATAGCTAAACTAAATAGCTTAACTAAATAGCTAAACCTTATAGCTAAAGTAAATAGCTAAACTGGATAGCTAAACTGAATAGCTGAGCTAAATAGCTAAACTGAATAGCTAAACTGAATAGCTAAAGTAAATAGCTAAAGTAAATAGCTAAACTAAATAGTTAAACTGAATAGCTTAACTAATTTGGGTTACTGTATTCTGTAGGTAGAATTTTTAGGCAAAAATTTCATTCTGATCATTATTCTTAGCAGTTTTAGTAAACCAAGATTGCCAAAAAGGCCATTTCTTCCTCTGAAAAGTGTACAAAATACGATTTTTCTCGATTCGAATGAAGAAAAGTTGAATGAAATGAAAGTTTTATTCATAATTGACCTTGAAAAATGAATATTCATAATGAAAAGAAAGTTTTTTCGAGTGGTGAACACAAAACAACCTTTGAAACAACTGAGTGATCGAATTTTTGATTAATCGGCTTTCCCAGAAAGGTGTTTCGAACGAAATCCAGCTTTCTAAGCTTTCAAAAGCCATTCTACTGACACTACCGTTCGAATGGTGTCAGTAGAATGGCTCAACTGCTTTGAAACTGCGTTCAACTGCTTTGAAAATGATTCCTTTGAAACTAGGATCTCTAAGCGACAATTTTTGACTAAAGAACTAAAGAACTGCTTTTGATATCTAATATATCCAAATCTAATCAACATTAAACTTAAATGAGAGATTATTGAATAATATTGAACGATGATATTGAACTCTTTGTTTGTTAGTAAACCTAGTAGTATCCAGTAGTACTAGCCAAGCCAACAGTAAGTAATAATATCAATTTTTGCTATTGTAGTTTTGCTATTGTAGTTTTACTATTGTCAACGCAAAGCTTTAGACAGGACTTCCACCAATTGACGAGGTTGGCTCGGAAACCGTTTGGAATGACGATGAGCTGGTGATCAAGAATCTTCAACGGGCTGATGCTGGCAATTACAAAGATCCGGTTCGTTGCTAAGAAAATGAAAAAGAACAAGTTGTAAATTTGTAACTGGAATCTAAAAGAGCTAAAATTTATATAGAAATTTTATTAATTTAACTTAAAATTGATGAAAGTAGCAAAAAAAAATGAAAAGCTTGTTTCAAATTTTAGCCTTTGAAAGCGTCAGACACATTTTTAATTACCGCATGATGCTTCTACGACAATAAAACAAAAACAAACTTGAAATATAAACTTTTTAGACAAATCTGGCCTTCAGTTTCTATTCTATTAGCTTAATTTTGTTATTATTTGGCGAGAAATCACAAGACTCAGATAATGAGATCAAAATTTGATCAAATTGAATCAAAAATTGATCAAAATTGAAAACTAGCAAGCAGCTTACGGTAATCTTGTCGAAAATCGGTGACTTTTAGCAAACGCAAAGCAAACGCATTAGCAAACGCAAAGCAAGCACAAAGCAAACGCATTAGCATTAGCATTAGCTGTTTTCCAAATTAGAAAACGATTTCAGGAAACTCCGACAAATGAGGATCAAGGCGAGCCGTTGATTCTAGAGGGAGACATTGAGAAGATCCCGACTGATGGGAACACTGTGATCACTCTCATTGTTCATTCGCACGATGATTAGATGTTCACTTTGAAATCTTGGCTCTTGTAACGAATAGTTTTCTGAATCCATTCTCAATAAAGCTTTTTTTTCTCAATAAAGCGAAAATCACCAGAATTTATATGACAGCTACCGGGAAACAGAATGATTTTGTTCTTAGTTTTAGATTTAGTTCTGACGATAAACTCGAAACAATTTCATTCTTGATTCTCGAAACATTTCATTTCATTTGTAAGAACAAGGAGGTTCAAGCGATTACAGCTCACTCAAAGATTTCAGAGCCTGCAACTTTGAAACATTTTGTAGGATTACTTTGAATTAAAAGTTTTTCATTTTATAATCGTTTTAGATTCGCAATCTTGGTATTTGATAGTTGGGAATTAGCAACTTTTGCACCTGAATACATAGATTTTGTTAGGCAATTGTTGCCAATCATTGCTGCCAATCATTGTTGCCAATCATTGTTTCTAATCATTGTTGCCAATGGATTGTTGCCAATCACTGTTGCCAATCATTGTTGCTAATCATCGTTGCCAATCATTGCTACCAATGGATTGTTGCCAATGGATTACTGCCAATGGATTGTTGCTAATCACCGTTGCTAATCACCGTTGCTAATCATTGTTGCCAATGGATTGTTGCCAATGGATTGTTGTCAATGGATTGTTGTCAATGGATCGTTGCCAATGGATTGTTGCTAATCACTGTTGCCAATCACTGTTGCTAATCATTGTTGCTAATCATTGTTGCCAATGACTCTTGCCAATCACTATTACCAATGACTCACTATTGCCCCGTTTACAACTAGACTTGATTATTGATATTTTATTGATAATTACCACTCACAATTAACCCGATCGAATTGAAAACTGAAGTTTGTTTTTTTGTAGAACTGTGCGAACAAAATCGTGTTCGAACAAAATCAAAAACAAAACTCAGCATTTTTTAAAAGATGGCTTTTAAAATCGCAATCTATTCTTTTAAAAATGATCAGTCCTATTACAAAATATCAATAATCAACAAAAATAAAGCTTTGGGACTCATTGTTTATCATCGGATTACCCAGTTACAACAAGAAATCCTTTCTTCAACAATAACCCCAACGCTCAAATACAAATTGCACTTTCCCTCGCAAATTTTCCCTGAAAAAACATTGCCATCTATTACGCGTTTTTATCGATGTTAACAGGTTTCCTTTTTTATTCAAAGAAAAATCTATCGCTTTTGCCGTCCTCCAACAATTATAGTCATTTTGGGATTGATTCATGACAATTAGGGGAATTTTAGCGACAAATTATTGAATTTTCTTAGTACAGCCTGTTCAAACTTGTTAAACGCTAAGATTTCCGTTTTTCTAATTGAATAATGGATTCTCTTTTGCCGAAGAATCGATCCTTCAAGATCTTCAAGTCTTCAAGCTCTTCAAGCTCTTCAAGTCTTCAAGATCTTCAAGCTCTTCAAGATCTTCAAGATCTTCAAGCTCTTCAAGATCTTCAAGCTCTTCAAGCTCTTCAAGCTCTTCAAGCTCTTCCAGATCTTCAAGCTCTTCCAGTTTTTGAAGCTCTTCAAGCTCTTCCAGATTTTGAAGCTCTTCCAGTTTTTGAAGCTCTTCAAGCTCTTCAAGCTCTTCAAGTCTTTAAGTTCTTCAAGATCTTCAAGATCTTCAAGCTCTTCAAGATCAAGATTCAAGATTCAAGATTCAATAATCCTTATTTAAGAATAATCGGTCGGACAAAGTTTAACGAAATTCGAGAATTTTGAGGCTAATCATTAGAATTTGTAATCAAACTGATAAAAAGATTTTTAATTTACAAATTCTGATTCTTTTTTTGATCTTTTTGATCTTTTTGATTTTCTAAACGCTGGTTTTAGTTTATTTTTTAAATGAAAAAAAACTAAGACTCGCTCGAGTGCTTTGTTACGTTTAAACTTGTAACATCGACTTTAGAAAAGCTAACTTTTCTCTTTTTCTTGCCGATTCTTGATTAGTTATACGGAAATCGATTTCCACGAGTACTTATTGTTGAATAATTGCTCTCTTTTAATGTTCTTGACCGTTAGAATAAATTTTGAACCAACTATTTCCTATTTACAAACAAATTTGGTCTAATTAAAGTTTGCCCAATGCTTAGTGAGGACAAAACTTGCAACATAAGCTTTTAAAAATTCCAACGTATCTGTTGTTGTTTGTTTTTGTTGTTGTTTTGTCAAAATTGAGACCAAGAGTCACGGGAAAACTTGAAAATTGTTTTAGAGTCCAACTTCCAATTCTCCGACTATTTTTTAGCCCATTTGATACAATTAAACTTTGTTCAAGAGCTTTTAGGTCGATAAACTTGAAACATAAGATTTGAAAAGTAGTTTTCTATAAGTCAAAAGTCTATAAGTCGATAAGTCGAAAGTTATAATGTATAAGTTATCGAAAAGGATATTTTTTCTATTTTCCGATTGGCTAAATATTCAAAACCTTTACAAGCTTTGCTCATTATTGTTTAAAAATTGAATTTGCTCTTAAACTATCAACAATTTTTCAGATATGAACGACTCAGTGTTGGAAAGTCTTGATGAGATTATTGAGGCTGCCAAATCGCCGTCGAGAAAGTCAAAATCTCTGGAAATGATTGAGGAAACGAGGCAAACGCCCGAGAAAAGCCCGGAAAAGGAAAATATGGAAAGGAGGTTGGATTTTTATTGCAATTTGGCAATAAATTTAGCATTGGATTTGTAATTTAATTACAGTAATTAGGATTTAATTACAATAATAATCCCTATTGGGAAAACACAGCGTATACCGTAAATACTGTAATTGGACCCCATGGGGTACTATTTTTTCCCTCCCCCTCTAGGGTGGGGTACTATTAGAGGGTGGGGCACTATTAGAGGGTGGGTTACTATTTTACACCACTATTCAAGTTACCAAATCAGGATACATTCAAATAATTTGTTCAAAAGCAAACTTTTTCTTTAGTTTTTATTGGTTTTAACCATTTGAAAATTTAACTGCAAAACGAAACAAAAACAACTAACAAGCGAAATCAATAGAAACATCCGAATCAATGAATTCATCATTTTTTTTATCATCAATTTCTCGATGTCCTTGAAATCCCGTCGATGCGAGCGGCTCCAAGAGGTCCTCGATTTCTGTCTCTGTCCGAGCATTTCTCATCGTGTGCAAGTACAATAGAGTAAAGATAATAATTAAAGATAAGTCCATCGAACGAGCGTTACAAGTATTCCGCCGTGATCTCATCATCGAGGCACTTGCTTTTCTTCTCTTTCCAACAGAGCAATAACTTCGATTGGAACTTTGTCTCGATTTTTTTTGTTCATCATTTTCCGAAGCACCACGACAAAAGGGCGCAACTTTTTTTCCATTGAAACAAGCAGTGAGCATCACGAATATATTCGTCTTGTCGTAGCCGCGGGTGAGAACACCAACTTCTTTGGCGCCAACCGCTTCGATGGACTTGCTCGTCAAAGCATCCAGCCAAACCGCCATCTCATCGCAAGCAACAATGTGCTTGTAATCGCCTTCTTTGATTGTCTTGTTCAGCCTCAGAATGTGCTCGACGATGGCCTTCTCAAATTCGCTCGGCAGCTTTTGAGAAGTTGTTGTTGGTGCCCTCAAAGAAAGTTGGGGGCGCCTCAAGAACGACTCCATCCAGCCATGGCTTCTTTTGAAAGAAATTTCAGCTTTTTCGAATCGATTAGCTGCTTCATTCCAGATAATCCGGCATGTCACTCGTTTCTTCTCGGCTCGACGATCCCGTATCCATTCAGCCAAGCCGATATCAATCCCCTTCGAGTTCAAGTGGCTTCTAAATGGTTCAAGTCTTCTAAGTGGGCCAATCTTTATGATTTTGGTGTTACTTTTTTGCACTTGTTGAGATCTACAATCATAAAGATTGGCCCACTTAGAAGAAAGTTCTGGCGAGCTGCGCAAAAAATTTGGCGCAAAGTAGCCACCGCAAATTTAAAAACAACAAATTTATGGGATAAAATTAAAAATACAAACGATTTCTGAAAATACATGAAAATTTTCCGTTTTAAAAGCGTTATTTGTAATTACGCGTTAGGTGGGGGTGGGGTACTATTAGAGGGGTGGGGCACTATTAGAGGGGTGGGGTATTATTTTTTCCCTTCCCCTCTAGGGTGGGGTACTATTAGAGGGGGGGTACTATTAGAGAGGGGTGGGGTCCAATTACAGTATTTACGGTAGCTTGTATTTGAACGTTTAATTTAACCGAACTAGACTGAAAAGACTTGTTTCAAGATTTTGAAATTAGAGATAGCAAAGCTATCTTTAATTACCTAAATTTGAAACGAGCTTTTTTAAAAGGTAAGTTCTCTAACCCAGTTACAATTGCAATCAAATTTTTCAAACAATGATCTCAAAACTTTCAGAGAAAAGAGCCGATCAAAGTCTTCATCCTCATCCTCCTCCTCCTCCTCTTCAGAGGGTATCCCGCGAATTCCAACGCCAACAATTGAGGCTGGGCCCGATGCAGACTCTGACGCGCCCTCATCTGATGACTCGGAGGCTGACGGTCGGTAAAAATAATGATTTGATCTGTCTTCGCACTTAGCGCAGATCACAACCCGCTTCCACATTTACTGAGGCAGAAGTGTAGTTGTCGTAGCCGATGATACTCCGATGGCCGGGCTGGGGCGCTCGGAGGGGAGCCCATGGGAGTCGAACCCACGACTAACCCGCGCCGACGTTGCTCAACTTGGCAGATCGGACGGGGTCGACCACAGACCCTTCCCTTTCTGGGCCCCGACGGTCGGTACTTGTTTAGTTTAAACGCCAATGGTATCAAACTTTGCAATTTGACACGAATTTTCTGTTATTGAGGGCTTTTAAAGGTGTTTTATGTCAGGAAAAATCGGTTGTTTAGAAAAATGAGAATCTGAAATGAGTAATGAGAAAAATGAGAAATGAAAAGCAAAAAAACAATGAAAACAGAAAACAGTGTCAAAAGTTCTCCATCAAACACTGAATTGTTTAAGTTTTAAGCAAAAGCCGAAAACTAGAAATGATGCAATAAGTGAAAAGAAAGTGTTTTGGTTCCAATTTGATTCGAATATGGTTCGATATGGTTCGGATACGGTTCCAATATGGTTCCAATATGGTTCGGATATGGTTCGGATACGGTTCCAAGGCTTCCAAGGCAGTCAAGGCTTCCAAGGCAGTCAAGGCTTCCAAGGCAGTCAAGGCTTCCAAGGCAGTCAAGGCTTCCAAGGCAGTCAAGGCTTCCAAGGCAGTCAAGGCTTCCAAGGCAGTCAAGGCTTCCAAGGCAGTCAAGGCTTCCAAGGCAGTCAAGGCTTCCAAGGCAGTCAAGCCTGTAATTTACATTTCAAACTGAAGAAAAATAAATGTTTCAACTTTTTTAAAGTAAAGTCAAAATAAGACGAGGCAATATCTTACGAAAAACGTTTTCCTTTCAATTAACTCATTCAAGAAAAAGCCATTTTTATCTTGGCGGCCGTTTTGGAAAATCTAAATGCGTTGTAGATCTAAAAATTTATAACGAAAGGAATTCTGCGATGGAGAATCTGAATCCGTGATTACTTTTTGAGAAACTTTATTTTCCGAGCCAATAGGGTCATCAAAAAACTCTCTAAAAACTTGGGTAATTAAACCCAATGAAGTATCCAAAAATAGAGCAGTTTTCTTTAAAAACTAATAACGGATTCGGATTCCTTGCTCCCGAAAACCCACGGGTACAAATTTACAGCCCAATTGGTCTCAAAAAAGCTCTAAATTCACGTACAGCCGTATCGTACGGTGTCATGAAGTCATGAAGTTTCCTTTACGTATTACGGTATAATATAACACCTAAAATGGGCTTTATCTCGGTTTTAACGATGGTTTAGTCTGTGCAAACTTTTCCAAGCTCTTACAACAATTTCTTCATTTTGAGCATCGTTGAACAATCGTTGAAAAAACTTTGTGGCCTGTGGATACTTTTTGGATAGTTTTTCTCCAATTATCTAGAAGAAATTGGCTCTCTTAAGAGCCATTTTCTTCTAGAATGCAACAAATTGAGTCAATTAGAAGCGTTATACTTGAATTTTTCCCAAAAATTAAAAGCTTATTGTTTAAAAAAAGCTAAAAATGGATTTGGAGTTGAACTTGGGTAATTAAACCGAATGAAATATTCAAAAATAGAGCAATTTTCTCTAAAAACTAATAACGGATTCGGATTCCTTGCTCCCGAAAACCCACTGGCGCAAATTTACAGCCCAATTGACCTCAAAAAAAGTTCTAACTTCACGTACGGTCGTATCGTAGCGAATTTTTTAAGCTTATTGTTTTAAAATTTTAGCATAAAACAAAATGAAATGATAAATTGATCAAAATTTCGATTCTTTTCCAGAATAAACCTTCCAGAATTCCAGAATACTTTTCCAGAGTACACAGTCGAGAAAGTGCTCAATCACAAGAAGCTCCGAAATGGGAAATTGGAGTTTTTGATCAAATGGGAGGGTTATGGGGACGCTGATAACACATGGGAACCAGAGGAGAATTTGGTGAGGAAAAGTAGAGTTGAGACGATCAAAAAGGGAACATACAGTACTGGACAATGAAATATCATATTTGAAAAACGATCGTCACTTTCGCGCGTCTGTAACTCCCTTGTCTTTGAGTTTAAACTATTAGTGTTATACATTTGTCTGAAAGCTCTTTTCAAGGGCTACACAATGGTAATATTAATATTTAGAAATAGGGTAAAGACATGGGAGTTACAGACGCACGAAAGTGACGATCTTTTTTCAAATATGATATTTCATTGTTCAGTAGTGTAGCATTCGGCTACTGCTTTTTTTTCTATTCGAAAAGAATAGACAACACTTATTTTAGACAAACACACCGTAATCTTCCCGCCATTTTTCATTTCATTTCATTCGATCAACTCAAATAAGATCATTGACTGAGCAATAAGATCATTGACTGATCATTGACAGATTCCCTCATTTGAATTTGACCAAAATTGGGCTAATCCAATGAAAACTGGCGGCTGGATTGTTTGCTTAAAATAGGTTTTTGTCTAAAATAGGTTTTTGAAATAGGTTTTTGTCTAAAATAGGTTTTTGAAATAGGTTTTTGTCTAAAATAGCCAAAAATGGCTTCTTTTAAAAAAACGCTTCATAGATTTTACAATATCCTTCTTTTAGAGTTGCGCCAACAAAATCGCCGAGTACTGGTCTTCAAAGAAAGCCGATATTCCCACTGAGTAAATGAACTTTTTGAAACAGATTTATTTTTACTTTTCCAGGAAATCTCGCGCAACCACTCCACAAAAGAAAAAGGTACACTACTGAAATATGAATGCCCTAAAATAGTTATAAAAATTTTTCTACTTAGCCAAAAAACTTGCCTAATAGCTCATTTTGTAGCCAATTTGATGTAGTTTCTTAAACTAAATCCATCTAAAACAATTTTTCGTTGAAAGTAGGAGAAAGAGGGCGAGGAACAAATTCAGGGCAATTCTCAAAAGTGAAAACAGCGACCGAGTTTAACCGAAGTCGTTCCTCGCCCTCTTTCTCCTAGCTTTGAAAAACAAATGTTTAATGTAGCTTTACTTTAAGAAACTACATCAAATTGGCTACAAAATGAGCTATTAGGCAAGTTTTTTGGCTGAGTAGAAAATCTTTTATAGCCATTTTAGGGCATTTTTGAACCTAAACTTTGGGGGCTCAAAAAAAATTTTCTACTGAACCAAATGAGCTAATTTCAAAAATTTATTATAAAATATATGTATTATGAACATTTTTTATGTGGGTGACTTTTTGATTGGATGCCCGGAAATACCCTCATTCGTTAGCGGCTGAATTTCGTAAACGGCTACGACATATAGATACTTTATTCAACATATAGATACTTTATTTATATATAATTTATTTATATATACTTTATTTAAACGGCTACGACATATAGATACTTTATTCAGGACCTGAGATAAAGTGCGCTAGATTTAAGATTAAAACATACACTACTGGACAATGAAATATCATATTTGAAAAAAGATCGTCACTTTCGCGCGTCTGTAACTCCCATGTCTTTACCGCATTTCTAAATATTAATATTACCATTGTGTAGCCCTTGAAAAGAGCTTTCAGACAAATGTATAACACTAATAGTTTAAACTCAAAGACAAGGGGAGTTACAGACGCGCGAAAGTGACGATCGTTTTTCAAATATCATATTTCATTGTCTGTAAATGGAGAGTTATTTTGGAATAATCAATCATTTGAAAATATTTAGGAAAAGAAAAAGAAGTCAGCCGAAATGGTCGAGCTTTCCGAGAGTGATGACGATGAGCCGCTTTTCAAGAAAAGGTTTCAAATTTTATCAAGTACACTACAAACACTATAAACACTAAGTCTATAGAGTAGATAGACTTAGTGTCCAGGTCCAGGATCTTGTCCAGGTCCAGGATCTTGTCCAGGTCCAGGATCTTGTCCAGGTCCAGGATCTTGTCCAGGTCCAGGATCTTGTCCAGGTCCAGGATCTTGCCAGGTCCAGGATCTTCAGGTCCAGGATCTTCAGGTCAGGATCTGTCCGTCAGGATCTTGCGGTCAGGATCTTTCCAGGTCCAGGATCTTGTCCAGGTCCAGGATCTTGTCCAGGTCCAGGATCTTGTCCAGGTCCAGGATCTTGTCAGGTCCAGGATCTTGTCCAGGTCCAGGATCTTGTCCAGGTCAGGATCTTGTCCAGGTCCAGGATCTTGTCCAGGTCCAGGATCTTGTCCAGGTCCAGGATCTTGTCCGGTCCAGGATCTTGTCCGGTCAGGATCTTGTCCAGGTCCAGGATCTTGTCCAGGTCCAGGATCTTGTCCAGTCAGGATCTTGTCGTAGGATCTTGTCAGGTCCAGGATCTTGTCCAGGTCCAGGATCTTGTCCAGGTCCAGGATCTTGTCCAGGTCCAGGATCTTGTCCAGGTCCAGGATCTTGTCCAGGTCCAGGATCTTGTCCAGGTCCAGGATCTTGTCCAGGTCCAGGATCTTGTCCAGGTCCAGGATCTTGTCCAGGTCCAGGATCTTGTCCAGGCCTAGTTCCAGATCTACCTTAATAAGTAACTTAATCAAGGAAAGAGACAAAAGGAAACATATTTGTAGAGAAAATAATAATAATAATAATAATAATAATAATAATAATAATAATAATAATAATAATAATAATAATAACAATACAAAGCCTTAATAAACAGCAAAAACTGATCTTTTTAAAGCTGACCCAAACTTGAGCAATGTTAGGTTGTGAAATGATTGTTTTACGAAATTTAAAGGGCTGTAATTTACATCTTTCTTGTATCTTCTAGATTCTAGAATTGGATAACTACCGTGCCCAAGCACGTTCTAGTTCATAATATGATTTTAAATTCGCAATTTTTAGGTCCAAGACAAGATTAGTGAAATTAAATCGATTTCGAAAAACCCCTCCTAGCATTACCATCTTTTCGTCTTCTGACTATTGTGTCAAATTGAAACTGAAACTTTTAAACTGGGTAAAATTTAGAAAAATCAATATTGAGCAAAGATTGCTGAATCTTTTGTAGTGTAAACTGTTAAGTGGATGTTTTAAGTTAAGTTTGATTTGATTTTGAGTTTGATTGTTTGTTTAAGTTTGAAAGTTTGATTTCCTAAATTCCAGAAATTCCAAAGTTCTTCTCGAAAGTGCAACGGATCAGCCAAGGGTGAGCAAAATGGTGGGAATTGTTGTAAAAGTTTCGAAATTCAGAAAGAAGGCACTTCGTTGAACGTCGAGGAATTGTTTGGGTAAAGTTTTTCTCGAAAACTTTAAGTAAATATAAACTTTAGAACCAGCTTGAAGCCAAAGGACGAAAAGCGAAGGCGAACGGTGAAAGAAGTGGAAAATGAATCGGAAAGGGTGAGAGAAAAAGATTGATCATAAAAAGTTTCAATAAACCAATAATATTAATAGCTTTGAAACATCATTTCCCTCACCAGATCAAGATTAAAGCTAGACTCAAATCAGAAGGCAATTCCAGGCATGATGTCAGCTCTAGCTTGTCAGCTCTAGCTTGTCAGCTCTAGCTTGTCAGCTCTAGCTTGTCAGCTCTAGCTTGTCAGCTCTAGCTTGTCAGCTCTAGCTTGTCAGCTCTAGCTTGTCAGCTCTAGCTTGTCAGCTCTAGCTTGTCAGCTCTAGCTTGTCAGCTCTAGCTTCTCAGCTCTAGCTTCTCAGCTCTAGCTTCAGCCCAGCCCAGCCTCTCAGCCTAGCCCAGCCTAGCTCTCGCCTGCTCCAGCTCTGCTTCTCAGCCTAGCTTCCGCTCTGCTTCTCAGCCTGCTTTCAGCTCTAGCTTCTCAGCTCTAGCTTCTCAGCTCTAGCTTCTCAGCTCTAGCTTCTCAGCTCTAGCTTCTCAGCTCTAGCTTCTCAGCTCTAGCTTCTCAGCTCTAGCTTCTCAGCTCTAGCTTCTCAGCTCTAGCTTCTCAGCTCTAGCTTCTCAGCTCTAGCTTGTCACTAGCTAAAACTCGATATCTATTAAAGAGTTAAACAATTTGTTTTTCTTTCAGAAAAAGAAAAAGAGAGCCTACACGGATGATGAAGAAGAGAAAAGGTTTGTTTTTAAACTTTTAAACTATTAGGTGTATTGGTGAAGTGAAATGTCCCTATTTGCCATGTGTTTTTTGTTTAAATCTTTAAATTCACTGATTTACTTACGATTGACTTTATTAGAAATGTTTCTCGTTTATAATTTTGTCATTTTCAAGTTTTTAAGTATATTGGTAAGCCTATTTCAAAGTAAACTTGAGGAGAAATTCTAATTTTAATGAAAATTCGTAAAATTGACATAGGCAACCCACTTAATTCGGTCCCAACTTATTAAACTCATTTTAAAGGCTCGAAAAATGCTTCTTAATTGGTATAAAGTTGTTTAAAATGCTTAAAAATGCTTCCAATAGATTCAGCGTCATTGATTACCCCAGAAAAGTTTTTAAAACAAGTGAAAAGGCCTAAAAACCGATGTTTGCAAATTCGTCCCCATCCAGAACTACTATAGCACTGAAATATCAAATAAAATTGATATCAAATCCAATTCTTGTTATTAATTTGCTATTAATTCTTGTTTAGCGATCACGAGAGTGAAAAGAGAAGCCGACGAACCCGAGCCACGCCACTAATCAACACTGGAAGGTGAGTGAAAAGAGCTTCGTTTCAATTTCCCGAATATTGGGTTGGTGAATTGAAAACTGCTGGCTATTGTCATATGTGACAGTTTGAGGACTTTCTTCCAAAGAAACCCATTTTGGTGTCAATGGAAAAGTTGTAGAGAATCAAAAATCAAGCTCATATCCAAATTTCCAAAAAGATACGCTTAGTAGTTCCGCTTAAAATTTGTGTGTTCTTTCTGTTCTTTGAGCTGCCGCGTACACGCTCGTCGCCTGGCGCAGGGCTTTAACATAACCCCCTGCCCTCTCTTTGCTCTAATCTCTTCTGGCCGTTTCCGAATCTTCAAGTTCGACATCGACTTCTTCGCAAATCAAGGCTAATCTCGATCTATTGGATTGGTGAATTGAAAATTGCGGGCTATTGTCATATGTCACCGTTTGAGCACTTTCTTCAAAAGAAACCCATTTTGGTGTCAATGGAAAAGTTGTAGAGAATCAAAAATCAAGCTTATATCCAAATTTTCAGAACGATTCAAAAACTGGTTTTCAAGAAATGCCAAATTTACGAATTTTCACAAAACTTGCATTTTAAGCGAAACTACTAAGTGTATCTTTTTGGAAATTTGGCTAGAAGCCTAATTTTTGATTCTCTACAACTTTTCTATTGGCACCAAAATGGGTTTCTTTTGAAGAAAGTGCTCAAATGCTCAAACTGGGACATCTCCGGTCCTCCATTCTTGAGTCTTACACTTGTCTCACACACAAATCAAAATCCTACTACGAAAGAGGAATCCGCAAATTGCCTGTAAAATGTGCAGAAGTCATCAATAATAATGGAGATTATTTGGAATGAATTGATGGTTTTATATTGAATAAATTTTAGTTCAAAGTCCGGCAGTTTTCAATTCATCAACCCAATACTATAGCACTGAAAGCTTTGATATCAAATCAAATTCTTGCTATTAATTCTTATTTAGCGATGACGAGAGTGAAAAGAGAAGCCGACGAACCCGAGCCAACACTGGAAGGTGAGTGAAAAGAGCTTCGTTTCAATTTCCCGAATAAAAATCGCGTTAAAATTTGTGCAATACTTAATTTTAGCACCACATCGAAAAAGCGTAAAGCTATCATCGAAGATTCGGAAGAAACATTAGCTAATTTAGCTGAAACGAGTCGAACAAACAAGAAAACGGATAAAACGGTTAGAATAAAGAAATTGACTTAAATAAGTTTGAACTAGAAAGCACAAAGTTAGAGCTAGTCAGCAATTTCTTATTGTTCTTTTTATTGGACCTTCATTTTTAGAGCACTTATCGTTTGCAGAAAGGGGAAAAGCCGACGAGAGTGATTGGAATGAAATTGACAAGTGATGGATTGATGGTGAGTTTCAATGAAAAAAGGTAGATTGGATGAGGTAGATTGGATAGAACTCGAGACAAGAGTAATCTTTCTGCTTTCACCTTGCCACTTTTGATCCTGGGCCTGGAACTAGGCCTGGACAAGATCCTGGGCCTGGAACTAGACCTGGACAAGATCCTGGACCTGGAACTAGGCTTGAACAAGATCCTGGACCTGGAACTAGGCCTGGACAAGATCCTGGGCCTGGAACTAGGCCTGGACAAGATCCTGGGCCTGGAACTAGGCCTGGACAAGATCCTGGACCTGGAACTAGGCTTGAACAAGATCCTGGACCTGGAACTAGGCCTGGACAAGATCCTGGGCCTGGAACTAGGCCTGGACAAGATCCTGGGCCTGGAACTAGGCCTGGACAAGATCCTGGGCCTGGAACTAGGCCTGGACAAGATCCTGGGCCTGGAACTAGGCCTGGACAAGATCCTGGGCCTGGAACTAGGCCTGGACAAGATCCTGGGCCTGGACACTAAGTCTATCTACGGTAGACGTAGATAGACTTAGTGTTTATAGTGTTTCGGTTGGCTCTTTTCGGTTCGGTTTTGGTTTTGGTTCAACCAAAGTCAACCGAAATCTTCCGGTTCGGTTCGGTTCAACCGAAAAATATCCTTTTTCAGTTCGGTTCGATTAACCGAAACCGAAACCGAATCGAAAAAGAACGTTTCCGGTTCAACTGAAACACAAGTCTAGACGTAGACACGGTTTAGAAAACGATAAACGACTTCAATAAATTTCCAGGTACTGATCGCTTTCGGCGAGCCCACAAAAGGAGAGTATAAACCGTCGGCTTGTGAGATGACTCCGTGCAATGTTGCTCGTCAATGGCCAGCAGCTAATAAAGTGAGTTTAACTTTCGAAATACCAAAAACTAGCTGTTAGAAAATGTAAAATTTGCTATATTTTCTAAAAGCTTAAGAAATTGAATCGTTACTACTCTTAATTTCTCAGTTACTACTCGATTTTCTCATTGGCGCCGCCGAGAAGCAACTCTCGACGTTTTCGGGAAAAGTTCACGAATACGAGCGAGATAGGGGAAGGAAATAATGGTGAATTTAAAAAATTGATGCAACAAGAAGCCACCGTAAATACTGTGATAGTACCCCACCCCCATAATGACGGTGGGGAGTGTTGCGTAGTCTAGCTTTGAACGAGTTTTTCTCGACACTGGTTTATGCTACAATGCTCGTTTAGGTATCAAAAAATAGCCCTGAATTTCAGCTATTTTTTGATACCTAAGCGCGCATTGTAGCATAAACCAGTGTCGAGAAAAACGCATCCAAAGCTAGACTACGCAACACTCCGCACCGTCCTTATGGGGGGTGGGGTACTATTACATTATTTACGGTAGGTAGTTAGTAAAATAATTAGCATCAAGAAAAGAAGAAAAGTATTGCCTAATGAAAATATTAATTGATATCGAGTTTATTCTAGTAGAAGCGCAGCGTTTAATAGAAGAAATAACAATGGATGTTTAGCTCCTTATGGATATTCAGCTTAGTAGACTGAGTTTTGAGCCTTTAAGAATATATACGACATTCCTTAAGCAAAATTGCATTTTTATCATTTGTTTTGGATAAACAGTGGCAATTTTTATGTTTCTCTTAGGTTTTTCAATCAAAAAGAAGAGCTTGAGCTTAGCTTAGCTTAGCTTAGCTTGAGCTTAACTTAGCTTGAGCTTAGCTTAGCTTGAGCTTGAGCTTAGCTTGAGCTTGAGCTTGGGCTTAGCTTAGCTTAGCTTAGCTTGAGCTCGAAAAAGAACAAGAAGCTAACACATCTACTTACTTACGATTGCCCCCAAGATTGGTGGTTAGGTAGAATCGACTCTTGCGAACAACATATGAAAAAACTCAGCTGGAAACCTCAAAGATTACGGTAGTCAAAACAATTAGAAACATTTCGCTTTCTATCGAGAAAATTATCTCTGCTCTATTTGACACATACCCTTTCTAGACCACAGAGAACACAAAATTAGCATTTTTTTAAACCCATTCGAAACCGCAGCGTTTTTTCTTTTTTTTCGTCTACGGACCAAGCCCTTTTTTGACATTTTTGACTCCGAAGCAGTTTATTTATGGTTGGAAAGATGCAAGAGAGTCTCCTACACCATTTATTTTTGATGAAGAACGATTTGGATCTGACTTCAGTACTTTTCAAGACCCTATATTATTCTTATTTTATCGACGACAAATTAATCAGCATGTTAGTAGGCGAATCTAATAAACATGGAAAAAGGAAAACAAACTGGCAGGATTTCGATGCAAGCTCTTCCTGGCTCTGTATCTTCAGATGGGAATCGTCAAATTACCGAGGATTCGTGACTACTGGAGTAGCAGGCCTGGATTAGGAGGATTTTCCCACATGTCCCACATTATGTAAAGAGCAAAATTTGAATCTATTCTTCGAAACCTGTGTTTTTGTGATAATGAACTGGATCCTGCAGGAGATCGGCTTTATAAGATTAGAGCTATTATGGAACATTTCAATGCAAAACCAGAGACTGCATTGATTGAATATGACGCATGAATATGAGGTAAATATGAAGCATCTTTTTTGCCCACGTAATTTGTAGATCTACTACAATTGGAATATACATGCAATGCTGAAAAACAGCAAAAAAAACCAATTAATTGAATGAAAATAGCTCAATTAGCGCTGCAGCGAATAATCGCTGCAGCGGTCCGTTCCTGAGTTTTTGTTGCAGCGATTATTCGCTGCAGAAGTTTCGAATGGGTTAAATAGCAAAAAAATATCTCAAAGACAGACTCGAACGTGAGAGCATCCGCTTTGTAACTGAACGCACTATCACTACACCACCGCGCAATGGATTTATCGCTAACTAGCCTCAATATCGAGAGAGAAACCCCCATTGTTGCCCAAATCTTACCATTAAAGGCACTATCACTACCGTAATCTTGGAGCTTTGCAGCAGAATTTTTCATATGCTGTTCCCCAGAGTCGATTCTACCTGACCACCAATTTTGGGGGCAATCAGCGTGTAATTATATGTAAATCCCCTGTATTAGGTTGGCAAGTTATAAACGATCGCTTGCTTTGTTCAATGATTTCTTAGGATTTGAAAAGATTTTTTTTCAAAAAGATCAAAAAGAAAAAGAAAGGGTTTTTTTTCTGCAAAAAAACTACAATATTTTAGCGTAAGCATAACAGAATTCAAATTTCTGAGCCCCTATTTTCCTGAAAAAAATGGAGGACGAAAAATTTCTTATTCGCGCGGCTATGCTCTACGCAACTATTCCTTTTAAACAAGGAAAATCGCTGAATCTCATCGTACAATTATTTCCGCTTTTGGAGATGGAAGTATTGGCGAAAGTCAATGTCGAAAATGATTTCAACGCTTTCAAAGTGGCAACAAAAGTCGCCAGGATGAGCCGCATGAGAGGCACCCTCCAGGAGTGACTGATGTGGATTTGCTGGCAGAAATTGAAGAGGATCACTACACAAGAATTGGCAGAAATGTTTGATGTTTCTCATACAACAATCGAAAATCATTTGCATCGTGTTGTGAAAAAAAGTAGATGTGGAAAGTGGGTTCTCCATGAATTTTCTCAAGACAAGAAAACAATCCGTGTCAACATCAGCTCATGTTTGCTTCACAAGTGGTTTCTGGAGGTTGCTGGAGGTTGCTGGAGGTTGCTGGAGGTTGCTGGAGGTTGCTGGAGGTTGCTGGAGGTTGCTGGAGGTTGCTGGAGGTTGCTGGAGGTTGCTGGAGGTTGCTGGAGGTTGCTGGAGGTTGCTGGAGGTTGCTGGAGGTTGCTGGAGGTTGCTGGAGGTTGCTGGAGGTTGCTGGAGGTTGCTGGAGGTTGCTGGAGGTTGCTGGAGGTTTCTGGAATTCAATTTTAACTTCTCATGAAAGTTGGGTCTATTTCGATAATAAAACACGAAAGAAACAATGGCTATCGCCAGGTCAAGCTCCTCAAACTACCCCAAAACCCGATATTCATGGGAAGAAGATTATGCTTTATTGCTGGTGAAATTCTAAAGGTTTCGTGTTCTATGAGTTGGTGAATCCTATGCATAACATCGATGCTGATCTCTACTCAAAGCAGTTGATGAGAGTTGACTGATGAGAGTGACTCATTGAAGAAATTGAGCATCAATCCGTCGAAGGTTCGTTTTTTGCAAGACAACGCAAAACCGAACACAGCAAAAGTCACTCACAAAAAAAACTTGGCTCGACGAGCTTGGCTGGAGACTTCTACCACAACTGAGAGTGCTAGGTGGTAATCTGAGAGTGCTAGGTGGGGTGAATAAGGCATTCACCCGACCTAGCACTCTCAGATTGCCATTTGTTTCGATCGTTAAAGCAATTCCTCTATGGAAAACTTTTCGATGATCATGCACAAGTCAAAAACGCACTTTATTTCTACTTTGCTCAGAAGGACGCTCAGTTTTTTGAGAATGGTATTAAGGAATTGCGCCAAAGATGGCAAGAAGTCATCGATAATAATGAAGAATACTACAGAATTAATGTTCTTTTTTGCGCTCTATGAAATAAGCAAGTCGTTGCTTAAAACGATCGTTTATAATTTGCCAACCTAATAAATAATTAGCATCACAAAGAGAAGAAGAGAACAATTACTCAATAAAAATCTCAATTAACATCAACTACTTTGAAACATTACATTTTCAAAGCTTCTAAAACACCTCTTTCTCTTTTTACCGTAATCTTGTCTCTATTTTTATCCAATCCATTCACTTTTCAGTGAGGATTCATAAAGGATATCGAAAAAAATAAAAAAAGTGGATAGATTTGGTAAAAAATAGAACAAGATAGTAGAAGAAAGAAGAAAGGGAAATGTTTTAGAAAAAAGATTACTTGAAAAGAGGGAGAAAATCTAAGATTACGATTTTCAGCGTTTCTGTCACTTCAATCCCGTCTAAACTTTCACTTCAACGATCCCAAAAAAAGCATTTTCCATTCTTTATTACATTCATAATAATAAAAGCGCCATTTTGCTTACATTTTCCCTGTGTTTATGTAGAATTTTCTTTTATCCAATCCTAGCTGTTCCAGTTTCAAGATTTAAAAACTAGAAATCTAGAAATCTAGAAATCTAGAAATCTAGAAATCTAGAACTCTAGAAATCTAGAAATCTAGAAATCTAGAAATCTAGAAATCTAGAAATCTAGAAATCTAGAAATCTAGAAATCTAGAAATCTAGAAATCTAGAAATCTAGAAATCTAGAAATCTAGAAATCTAGAAATCTAGAAATCTAGAAATCTAGAAATCTAGAAATCTAGAAATCTAGAAATCTAGAAATCTAGAAATCTAGAAATCTAGAAATCTAGAACTCTAGAAATCTAGAAATCTAGAAATCTAGAAAGCTAAAAAACTAGAGATCTAGAAATCTAGAAAGCTAGAAATCTAGATTTCTAGAGTTTTAGATTTCTGGATTTCTGAATTTCTAGAGTTCTAGAAAGCTAGAAATAGAAATGGAAAACAAAGAATAGAACAAGATTATAGAAGAAAGAAGAAAGGGAAATGTTTTAGAAAAAATATTACTTGAAACGAGGGAGAAAATCTACGATTTTCAGCGTTTCTGTCACTTCAATCCCGTCTAAACTTTCACTTCAACGATCTCAGAAAAAGCATTTTCCATTCTTTATTACATTCATAATAATAAAACCGCCATTTTGCTTACATTTTTCCTATGTTTATGTAGAATTTTTTTTATCCAATCTATTCTCAGAGCTATGGATTGATTGTGGAAATTTCGTTATTTCCATTTCCATTTCCATTTCCACAAATTTGATTATCTCTTGAGTTCTATAAAACTTTTAAGGGTTTTTAGCAAAGTTTTTGAGGCTTTTTGAGGCTTTTTGAGGCTTTTGGAGGTAAAAACTGTTAAACTAAAGAAATTCAGACAAAATTTTTGAATTAAAATTTTCAAGTTTCAAAAAAACAAGCATTTACGGTCATTTTACGTGTCTTAATCAAGATTTATCTTGCTGGTTTTGTTGTTTTTTTCAAATCTTTTCAATAAATCTCCTTTATCAACTTAAATAAATAAACATTTCAATAAATAAATATTTAAAGTTTCAAAAAAATAAAAATACAAAAGCACACCGAGTTTTCAGCGAAAAGCGAAAGAAAATCTGAGCAAATTCGACGAAATATGAGAAATTTCCTAGCAAAATGGACCCGTTTGATTTTTGAATTGAAATTTTTGAAAATAAAATAAAATTTCTGAAAGTTCGACAGATTATTTGGGGGAATTTTGGGAAAATTTTGAAAATTTGAATTTCTAATTGAATAGATTTGCGGATGACTAGAAGAAATGAAAGAAAAAAATGGGGAGTGGGACAAATGCGTCCTTTTTTTTGCGCACCCGGACATTTGCGCACCTTTTTTTCCGCACCTTGCCCATTAGCGCACCTTTTTTCGCGTTTTAAAAAGCTCTAAAAGCTAATATTAACCAATTTCTATTCCAAAAGTTGTTTTTCTAGGTAATTTTAGGGCGTAGAATCGAAATTTTGACATATCAGAGCTTGTGGAAGCGAACGGACAGAGTTATACAAAGAGAAAAATCAACAATCTTATCTTTATCTCTCTAAATTTGGCTCCTTATCTCTCTAAATTTAAAATTATCTAAACAGAGCGTGTGGAACCAATTTGAAAGACGGCTAGGTCAAATTACAGAAAATTGTCGAGTTTTCTCTTTGTATAACTCCGTCCGTTCGTTTCCACAAGCTCTGATATGTCAAAATTTCGATTCTACGCCCTAAAATTACCTAGAAAAACAACTTTTGGAATAGAAATTGGTTAATATTAACTTTTTTAAGAAGCGAAAAAAGGTGCGCTAATGGGAAAGGTGCGGAAAAAAAGGTGCGCAAATGTCCGGGTGCGCAAAAAAAAGATCGCATTTGTCCCACTCCCAAAAAATGGGAAAATATTCGATTTTTTTGAGAGAAATTTATCCACTAGATCGCTCCTGTTTTCGGGGTGATTCTGGCTGAAAAAAAAACTTCAGTTCTTCTTCTTCTTCTTTAAAAGAAATTACCTTGATTTTGAAATATTCAATTGATTTTTTAAAAATAAATTTTCTTTAAAATCACCTTAAAAACTTCAAATCAGCTTTTAGATAAAAAATTTTAAAAATCAAAAAAAATAGGTTTCAAAATTTCTCTTTATCAAAGCTTTTTTTCGAAGGCAGTTATCCAGCTCATTTTTGGCATAAAAGTGGAAAAAAGGCGGTGAATTTGAGAAACTTTGAAACATTTGATTTTAATTTCAAAGATTTTAATTTTTTAATTTTAATTTCAAAGCTACCTTTTCTTCTCCATCAACTTTTGTGATTTCCGTGAATTCAATCGGCATCTTTTGCTCGGTAATCGTTTTCTCTTCGAAATGAGCCTCGGAGACTTTTTTGCAGTTTGGTTTCTGTTGCGCTCGGCCGACCTGGGTTTAAAGCTTAGTTTGGAGCTGGTTTGAAGATTGAAATAACTATTTATGCAAAATAAAACTCGGATTTAGCTCTTAGTCATCAGATTTAGCTATTAGTCATCAGATTTAGCTATCAGACATCAGGTTTAGCTATCAGACATCAGGTTTAGCTAAATCCTAAGCAAAAAACATTGGCTTTCTAAATTCCTGAGAACTTACGGTGAGCAATAAAGCTGGGAGGAAAACGATTCCGTGCAAAAGGCCGAGAGTGATGACGAGGAAAATCGTCTTGAAGAAGACTAGCACCTAAAAAGGATTCGAAATCGAAAAGATTTGAAAATATTATTGGAATTAGCATGTTTTCATGGCTTTTAAAAAGAATTTGTGAAATTTGAAAGTACAAAAAAGTCTGTTTCAATATAAGTGACTATAAGAGTCGCTTGAGATTGATAATGCGATAAGATTGAAAATGCGCTTGGTACATGACTTTTTTGGTACTTTCAAGTCTCCTGCTTTCAAGTTTTCTATGAAGCCTATCGAATTTCCAAATCCTTTAATAAACTCAAATAGGTTTGTTTCAATTTTAGAGGCTTTTTGGGTCATTTTTCACTCGCAATGACATTACCATTCTGAATTTATCAGTTTATTATCTTTTAAATAGCTACTTATCATAGAAATTTGCAATTCTACTGTCAAAAACTTATAATAAACGAGTTTTTAAATTGATTGTGCACAGCAGAAATAAATCTGTTTCAATTTCAACCATTCCCCTATCATTTTGAATTACAATTTAATTAACAATTTTTAATTTTTAACACCAGTAAGAAAGCAGTAAACTTATTGCTTATGCATATGGTTTTTTTAGATATTTTTAGTTCACTGTAGAAATTTTCCATTCCACTCGAAAACCCACCATGTACGAGTCAACCAAAAGCAACGGAGCCACGCACAAAATCGTCGAAAAGCCCGCCTGAAGCATTGGCCAGCCAATATTTCTGAATAGAAATTGAGATCGAGTTCTCTTTTTACAACTTCTTTCTATTACAACTCTCATTACATTCCGTCAACTTCTTTCTACAACTTTCTACAACTAAATCCTTATATTTTTCTGCAAAAGTCCGCTTGAAGCATTGACTTAGAGCATTGACTACTAACTAGACTTGCTATGCGATCGAAATTCTGTCGGATCGGATCGATGGATCGATATCTGATGGATCGGATCAATCTGATGGATCGATATCTGATGGATCGGATCGACATCTGATGGATCGGATCAATCTGATGGATCGGATCAATCTGATGGATCGGATCAATCTGATGGATCGGATCAATCTGATGGATCGGATCAATCTGATGGATCGGATCAATCTGATGGATCGGATCAATCTGATGGATCGGATCAATCTGATGGATCGGATCAATCTGATGGATCGATATCGGATCGATGGATCGCTATCTGATGGATCGGCTCAATCCGATGGATTGGCTCAACCCGATGGATCGGATCGATCTGATGGATCGGCTCAACCCGATGGACCGGATCGATCGGGATCGATATCTGATGGATCGGATCGATATCTGATGGATCGGCTCAATCCGATGGATCGTCGGATCATCATCAGACGAAAACCGATCCGATGTAATCCGGATTCGATTCATTGGGTCTCAAATCTAATACCTAATCAAGAAAATCGTTAATAAAGAATGAATAGTAAAAACTGATTTTCACTGAATCTTCACTAAATTGACTGAATATTTCGCATTTTGATCGAATAATTTGCATTTAAAACCAAAAAAACAAATGCTAAATGCAAACAAAAGTATGACCTTGAGCTAATCCGATCCTTTCTGTTGGATGGATCGGATCAGATTTTTGATTTTTTTGAATGCCAGCTTAAATGTTTCCCGTTTGCCTCAAGAAATTGTAAATACACCCTTTCTGGCACACCAAATGGGAAAAAAAGAATGATTGGGTAAATTGTACATTGATAAACACATTTCTCGACGATTCCCCTCACCTCAACGCATCCGCCAATCGCTCATCGGTTGTCCACGTGATCGGATTTCGATAGTAATGATAGCTGATATGCGCTGTGAAATCCACCGAGAAACCGATTGACCTGCAAATACAATATTTGATTTATAGCTCTTTATAAATCTTTAAACATTCTAGAAGCGAACTGAAAGATTTCAAAAGTTACATCAACGTTGTGCACATGGAGATCGGATCGAGATTGACTCCCCATAAAGATAAAAAGCCAAACACACCGACGTTGATCGAAATCATGGCGATTGTGCTGAAAATAGCCCTACTACATATATTACACATTTGAAAAATCGAGAATTTTGTTTGGCTTTAAAACTTGTCATTGAACAAGATAGCTCACTATTTTGCTTTATTTGTTTCACTCTTCACGGCTCTTAGATTTGAAACATCAGCTTCACCAGCTGAAAGTTCACCAGCCAACTTAGTTTCTTACTTAGTTACTTAGTTAGTTTCTGTTACAGAAGATAAGTTACAGAAGACGAAAGTTATAACGGATCTGTCATTTAACAACACAGAGTTAAAACAGAACACTAACCTTAACTCAAAGTAAAAGCGGCTTTTACATAACGTTCTACAGGGTGTTCAATATTTATGGGGACCAGTAGATTACTAGATTTAGAGCTTGTACAAGTTTAATGTTAAAAAGGAAACACACTTGATCAATACGCCCAATGTTAACAACTTTAAGTTACTTTTTTCAAAATTATTGCCTTTGTTGCTGTTGTTGTTGCTGTTGCTTGCCTAGAAACGCTTGTGGAAAGTGGCTATCGTGGCCTTTTGGTGAAATTTGATCGGATAAATTGAAACTTATGTTAAGTTTTCTTGAAAGAACCAAAACTGAAATCTGTTTCTAACATTTTTAATGTCCTGTAGGTTCGAAAACTGTTAAATAGTGAAGACTTTCTCATCGTTAAACAAGAACAACTGAGGTCTGATTCCTTTTGATGAAATTTGGTGATCGAGTTCCGATGAATCGATTTTTCGAATATAGAATTTAGTAAACTGTAAAAATAATCTAGAAAGCCGAGTTTGTTTCAACTCCTATGCGGTGCTTTCTCCACGACTTTTCTCATAAACCAATTTCGAAAGCGCTAAACGATCTGCCAGCCTGTTCTCATAAATATTGAACACCATGTAATACCGCGGTTATGTATTCTGGTAAATCGAATCTAGCGTATTGTAAAAAGCTTGGATGCGTCCGCCTTTCTTTTCCTAGACCCTTACAAAAGTTATAGTGGGAACACTAACCCTTAACGCTAACCGTTAATGCTAACCCTTAACGCTAACCGTTAACGCTAACCGTTAACGCTAACCCTTAACGCCAACCGTTAACGCTAACCCTTAACGCCAACCGTTAACGCTAACCCTTAACGCTAACCATTAACGCTAACCATTAACGCTAACCGTTAACGCTAACCATTAACGCTAACCCTTAACGCTAACCCTTAACGCTAATCCTTAACGCTAACCGTTAACGCTAACCCTTAACGCTAACCGTTAACGCTAACCGTTAACGCTAACGCTAAATGCTAAATATAAATATTTAAATCAATACCTCGACAAAATACTACTCATCGAGGGGATCATCAGGAAACAGACGAAATCCATTGTCAACGCGGCGACGATCACCGTCGACGCTGTGTTTGAGCCGATTGAATCGAGCTGATCCACGTAGAAAGAATAAGGCTGAAAATACAAATATTGAGGTGGAGAAATAGAAAATACGAAGCCCAATATCGAGGTTTAAATGATTTAAATGATTAAATGAAAAAAAATGATGCGCGTTTGTGCATTTCGCCGCATAAACGTCACAAGTTCACGACTCAGACAGTATTTACGGTAGGTACTCTATTCAAACACAGTCAGCTCAAAAAGTAGATAGATTGAATAAAAATAGGACAAGAATACGGTGAAAATCCTTTAAATAATAAGCATCTACCGTAACTACTGTAATATTAGGTTGATGCATAAGTCTTTTTGTTCCTTTTCGTCTGCCGTTTCAAGCCAACAAATGCACGAATTAAACTACGGTTGATTTCATTAGAAAAACCAATTATTTTTCTGCAAAATAACATTAAAACGGGTTTAAAAATATTTAATGCCTGGATTTTCTTGAGAGTATGAAGTCGGGTAGTCAAAAAGGGCTAACTCGATGATGCGGTTTAGACACCTTAGCTAAAGAAAACCTATCTTCGTGTCAATAGATAAAAGATAGAGAAAAAAAACGTTTGATATTTCGCCAAAATTTCAGAGAAATTCATTCAGCCAATTTTTCCGTAGAGTTTTTTATAGATTTTTACGAAAAAGGCGTTTTTCACTCTCGAATTTGCTTGAAAGTGAACCGAAATTCATTTAAAAAGATGCAAATTCAACAAAAAAACACTTTTTTTATAGAGCAAACTATAGATTAATTGGTGAATTTGTTACTTTTTAAACAGAAGTACGAAAAAAACGAAAAGACTTATGCATCAACCTATTAGTACCCCACCGCCCTCGTACAGTCGCGTAGTCGCAAAAGTTTTTTAGTATTTCATTTTTTTCAAAGCGCCCGTACTTCCAAAAAATGCGTCTTTGGTATCAAAAAATAGCTGAAATTCAGGGCTATTTTTTGATACCTACGCGCGCATTGTAGCATAAACCAGTGTCGAGAAAAACTCGTTCAAAGCTAGACTACGCAACACTCCGCACCGTCATTATGGGGGTGGGGTACTATTACAGTATTTACGGTATCCTCATTTCTTATACCTAATAGAATGCAAGAAATTGTTACATCCAAAAAATGCGCATCACTTTGTTTCCTGAATCTACCTGGATTTAATCTACCTGGAATATTGTGACATTGTATTTCGAGTACTCGTTGACGACATTTCTCCAAACGTGCTGTATTTGTGATCGAGTATTCCAGCCGGCTAACTCGCCCATCGAGTAACCGGTGGCAAAAAGGAATTTCTGGAAAAGGTGATTGAAGAAAAGTCAAGATGTTTGAAAAGAATCAATCAATCAAAAAACAAAAAAAAGTTTGTCAGTTTATCAATTAATATTAGCTGTCCAGTCAATTCAAATGAAATGGCTTTCTTTTGCTTATTAATAAACCAGTTCTTACTGGTAACCTATTCGTTTTTTGAAAGAATACAATTTTCGCGTTCACCTGTATCCCGATCACTTCATTTCCGTTCTTTTTCAATCTAACCATATCATTCCATCGTGAGCCTCCATTTTCCGGGTCCTAAAACCGAAAAATATCCAATCTATAGCTGTATTATTATTCTAAACTATTCTAATTATCCTAAAATTGATTTTTTATCGTCTGTTCAAACCTGCATCCAATTATCAAGCAATTTGTAGAACGTTTGATTGCTATTCACGTAGAGAGTGCTCTGAATTTGGAAGAGTCAACTTTTTTTTTGGGTTTGTCTTTAGATATTTATTCAATATGTCAGCTACAGTTACAGTATGCAAAGAATATAACAAAAGAAAGATATTCAATCGTCTAAATATTTCTCAGTTATGAGAGAAAAGATTTAGACATTACAGTGTAACTTTAAACAAACAAAAAAAAAGTGTGTTTCAAAATTTGGCTAATTCAAGACGGTTTTCGAATCGCAATAGTTTGTTCGTTGCTTATCAAAAAGCCAGCGGAATACTGAATCAAACCTGTGACAAGAAAGTCCTCAACCAAAACGAGGTCGAATTTCTCCCCATCGCAAATGGAAGTCTCTCGAAGCGGTCAACGAGTGAGAACATCGCGTGTTGACCCTGATCCGTTGAGACATCCGGCGGAGCGTTGACAAAGACGAGAATCTGAACGGGGGAAAGGTACTAGAGGAAAAGTACTAGAAGTACTAGAAGTCCCAAATTTGTAGACTCAATAAAATGAGCAGCTTCAATCGATTCACCGACCTCGAAAACCCCTGGGTACAAATTTACAGCTGAATATCTTTTTGTACGATTATTATTGGGCAATTGATACGCGCCCCGCCCCTTCGCCATTGGTAATCCAACTTTGAGTTCAAACATCTTGGTGTTGGGTTGTCCAATTTATAAATTATTGATATCATTAGATGCGCCAAGTCTTTCTCTGTCGATTGGTACAAAAACTATTTAAATTGGACCGCCAAACACCAAGATATTTAAGCTTAAAGTTGGATTGCTAATGGGAAAAGAGGCGGGGCGACGGACCTTTTATACGCGCCCCGCCCCCTTTGCCATTGGCAATCTAGCTTTGAGCCCAAATGTCTTGGTGTTTGACGGTTCAATTTAAATATTTTTTGTACCAATCGACAGAGAAAGACTTGGCGCATCTAATGATATCAATAATTTATAAATTGGACAACCCAACACCAAGATGTTTGAACTCAAAGTTGGATTGCTAATGGCGAAGGGGCGGGGCGCTTATTGTTGCACAATTTGGGAACAATTTGCTAGTATTTTTGATACAAATTCTAGATACTGTTAAGCCATTTTGTTACTTAAAAAGCAGCTAAATTGAGAAATAAATGTGATTTGACTTTCAGTTTAAATTGCGGTTGTTAGATTGAAATTTTCCCACCAATTGCCCCTCTCTCCAAACGAATTGCTCATAAATATATTTGATGCCATTCAATGGGGAATCTTTAAGGATCAGATTCGAAGTGTCCATCTGAAATTTATGCTTTAATTTAAATTCATTTTCTTTTCGTCTATTATCAGTTTATTCTTCATCCTTTGTAAAGTACTACAGTTTGAAGTAAACAGTAGTAAACAGTAGCTAGAGAGTAGTAAACAGTAGCTAGAAGTAGTAAACAGTAGCTAGTAAATAGTAAGTCTGCAAGTCTAATAGTAAATCGTAAATTCTTTGAATTCAGGTGCATGTCTAATAGTAAAACCAAATTTGTTGGTTTCAATTTTGCTTCTCTACGCAGCATCGACGATCTTTCATTGTTTGCCGTATTTTCTCTAATAGTAGTGCACCCAAGCGAGCCGAGTTGATAACTATTTTACAGTTTCCAAGCTTTTGCAGAAGCTCAACATTCAAATCCCTCACAAGATCTCATCGTCAGCTACATTTTCCGACCCCACATCGATAGGTTCTGATAAGCGGTTCTCGAGATTTCGAGCAATTTAGGCGAGGCTCTGGGTTCGCTATTATTAGAGAATACGGTATTTACAATCATTGTTTTTATAAGGCTAAGGAAAATAATGAGAACATTGTTGACCTGGATTTCCATTGAAGCACAGCCTTTGTACGAGATATACCAATAAAAGACCAAGACGATAAAAAGAAGAAAACGAGTCTGAAAAAGGCATCAAAATTCAGTTTCAAGGCAATAAGGTATCGAAATTCAATAAAAGATGTTGAAAGAGGAAAGGGAACTTTTAGAAAACGTGCTCTAATCTTTAAAGCTTTTCTATATGCTTAAAGCTTTTCTATTTGCTTAAAGCTTTTCTAAATGCTTAAATCTTTCCTAAATGTTAAAGCTTTTCTTTTCTGCGTTTCACTGAAGAGCTTAAGCCCCTTAAGCTTCAATTAGCTTCAATTAGCTTAAGCTTAAGGTGGCTTAAGCCTCGAGACTTGAAACTCGAGAACTTTTTGTGCCTTTTGCTTTGAAATTGCACTCAAAAATCAGCAATCGACCGTAATTGAGTGGATTTTTGTTCTCCAACCTGCCACCCATTGAGCACCCGACAATATTTGCTGACAACTCCGTTGTGGTGTTTCTTCATGGCGATTGTTTTTTCAACAATTGTATATTCTGAGTCAACTGGGGTGATAGAGCTGAAAAAAATAAAGTAAAAGTTTGTTTAGAAAGATCTAGATTTTGTTCTAAGCTTTTATTCCTCTAATTTACATTATTTTAAGATAAATTTGAGTTGCTTTTGCTTGTTGCTTGCTTTTCTGTTTCTTTTTTTGTTTGCTGGCTTGCTGGCTTGCTGGCTTGCTGGCTTGCTTGCTGACTTGCTGGCTTGCTGGCTTGCTGGCTTGCTGGCTTGCTGGCTGACTTGCTTGCTGGCTTGCTTGCTGGCTTGCTGACTTGCTGACTTGCTGGCTTGCTGGCTTGCTGACTTGCTGACTTGCTGACTTGCTGACTTGCTGGCTTGCTGGCTTGCTGGCTTGCTGGCTTGCTGGCTTGCTGGCTTGCTGGCTTGCTGGCTTGCTGACTTGCTGGCTTTCTAATTGATAAACTTGAAATCAGGGATTCTTTTTAGAAATTTTGCTTTGAACTTTTGAAATTAGCCGCTTTTTTCAATACAGCAATAAAAGCGGCTAATAAGCAATAAAATTATCAATAAAAGCGGCTAATTTCAAAAGTTCAAAGCAAAATCTTGAAAAAGAAACCCCTCATTTCAAATTTATCAATTAAAAAGTCAAATATTGGACAAATTTACGAAAGTCATTACAAAATCAATATCTAACTTTCCTCTGATTTTTTTGAAACTCAATTTCCCTCAAAAACCTACCCCTTTTCATTGCTCGTCTTCTTGATTTTCTCCTCAATTTTCACTCGTTGTGCAGCCGCCCGGCGCTCCTCGTAAACCATTGCGGCAACAAAGAAAGTCAACTGAAAATTTGAAACCATTTTCGAGGAATCTAAATATTTATTTAAACCTGATAAATAAAATCGACCAAGACGGCCACGGTTGTGTAAAGACAAAAAAGGGAAATGGCTGGGGTTGGGGTGAGGATTCCAATGGCAAACGAGAGGCAATTCGTGAGCGAAGTGACTGTGATTGATGGACCGGCTTCTTCCATTGTATGAGCTGAAAATGGGCAATCAAGAACTGTATGAATAAGGGTTGTAAAAAGCGATGTTGGACTGGGATCGATAACGATTTGTAAAGGAATGATTGGGAAAGGATTGGGAAAGGATTAAGTGAATACATTTATTGAACCTATAATGTGATACAAACAAAGGATACATAATAAGACATAAAGGTCTAAACACACAATTTTATGGCACTTCGGTCGTTACTTCTATTATCCTTATTCCCCAAATGTTGTGAAAGAAAAAACCCACTTGGTGGGGAAAAGAAACTTTTATCTTGCCAGCCTGATTGAACCCTCGACCTCGTAGCTTAAGAGCTTAAGAGACAAGACTCGTAACCGGTCGGCCATCTGGCCAGATTGGGAAAATGAAGCTTAAGGAGTCGAAAGTTTACGTAAAAAATATTTGAAGCCACTTTTAACCAATCAAAAATAATAAATCAGTTGATTATTTTAAAATTTGCATCAATACATTGAATTAAAATTTTCCTAAAAGCTTGCTATTTAAATAAATTGAAACACGGATTTTTTTTCTGCTTAGTTTTCGTTTTTGTTTCCAATTTTTAGCCTATTAGTGTTAGATTCGTTTATCGAAAGTCTGTTTTCTTTCGTAAACTTGTAAGAGATGAGATGAGTTCATTATTAGATGAGTTTTTGATCGTTTAACTCACCCATTTATAAAACTCACCCATTTGATCTTCGAGCGACGTATTCTTGTCGGCTTTTCGATGCGCGTGGATGATGATGAACACGTCATCGCAGCTGAAAATAAACACTTTCACCGAATTCATTCCATTTATAGAAAAATTAAGATTCCTACCCGACTCCGATGATCAAAAATGGCATGACAAGAGTGATCGAATTGAATGGAACGCCCAATAAGAGGAGTAGACCAAAGCTAAAAGGAAATCTAGAAATTAGTTGATTTTCAACAGTAATTAACGCTAAAATCTGCCTCTAGATATCTAATAAACTTGAAACTAATGATTTTTTTTTAAACAAAACAAAACATACTACTTTAATCTATACATTTAATACATAGACTTTGGCTAGGCTTATTAGGCTTAGGCTTAGGCTTAGGCTCAGGCTCAGGCTCAGGCTCAGGCTTAGGCTTAGGCTTAGGCTCAGGCTCAGGCTCAGGCTCAGGCTTAGGCTTAGGCTTAGGCTTAGGCTTAGGCTTAGGCTCAGGCTCTTACGTCGTCCCGACGGCCATCAACGGGCCGACGATGCCGAGAAAAGCCATGACAACGTTGTGCGATAATGAGAAGTGCTGTCGCCTGAAAATAGGAAATTAGAATAGAATTTTGATGTTGAAACTTGACCAAAACTGACCAATTTGTGACGAAAATGAAGAAAAAGACGAGGACGATGGAGAGATTGAAAAATGGAACACAAGACATCCCGTTTCGACGCACCTTTAAATTGAGTTGGTTTGAAATTTTGTAGCATTGTGCAAAATTAGCCGCTCTAGTTCGTTAAAGGGAACTTTTACTTGAGTGATCATGCTTTAAAGGTCAATATTGTTCCTAAATCTTTTTGGGAACAATTTTTACCTTAAATTTGGCGTTTTTATTACAAATTCTCGATACCGTTAAGCCATTTTGTTACTTAAAAAGCAGCTAAATTGAGAGAAGAGCGCTTTATCTCTTTGAGTTCAAACATCTTGGTGTTGGGTTGTCCAATTTATAAATTATTGATATCATTAGATGCGCCAAGGCTTTCTCTCTCGATTGGTACAAAAACTATTTAAATTGAACAGCCCAACACCAAGATATTTGAGCTTAAACTTGGATTGCTAATGGGAAAAGGGGCGGGGCGCGTATAAAAAGTCCGTCGCCCCGCCCCATTTCCCATTAGCAATCCAACTTTAGGCTTAAATATCTTGCTGTTTGGCGGTTCAATTTAAATATTTTTTGTACCAATCGACAGAGAAAGACTTGGCGCATCTAATGATATCAATAATTTATAAATTGGACAACCCAACACCAAGATGTTTGAACTCAAAGTTGGATTGCTAATGGCGAAGGGGCGGGGCGCTTATTGTTGCACAAATTGGGAACAATTTGCTAGTATTTTTGATACAAATTCTAGATACTGTTAAGCCATTTTGTTACTTAAAAAGCAGCTAAATTGAGAGAAGAATGGAAGCGCTTTATCTCTTGATTCGCTTAGGATTTTTTCATCCAATCAAACTCTATTTTATATCATTTAAAAGTTTAAAAGTTCTTCATTAAAGCTATATAAAACAAAAGGAAACAATAATAGTATTTCTAGAAAGGTCACTAATCGGAAGGTCGAGGGTCGAACCCCACAGCGACATGGTCACCCCTCGGTTCCTTTCCCTTCGGGTTGAGGGTTTTCTGGAGGGCAGTCTGGTGGTTGTGGCCCCAGTTCTTTAAGTGACAAGCCACCCTCATCGTCATCTTCCCTCACCACCAAAAAGCTATTTGTTCCCCATTGGCTTAGGGTTAGGGAGCCGTCTGTCATGACGTGGGTTGTTAAGATATAGCCTAGTATTGTGTGGCGTTGGTGATTCATATTTCGTGTATGCGATAAATTCACCACGGTAGCCCCAGTCGGTATTTTTTTTTTTAGATAAAGTGGCTGCCCCTCAAAGCGTGACATTCCTTCAGAAAAGAGTCAAAATCTGATTTGATTTGCTTTGATGAACCAGATTTGATTTGTTTTTTTGAAATTAACCTCTTGTGAAACGATTCCATCACTCGTTGACGAGATGTTCAAGAGTGGATTTTTGTAATTCGCCGTGAAATCGATCAATTTCTCTTCCCATCTAAAAATCTGCTATATTACTGTTAGTTTAGATTGATTGAGCAGTTTTGAAATTGAAATTGAAATTGAAATTGAATTCAAAAATTGATCTTAACAATCTAAAAAGGCGGCTTTGATTCAAAGAAGTGCTTAAAACTCCAAAAAAGAAACTCCGAAAATTATCCAGAGAATTTGGCGTTTAATGTTTAAAAACTTGAAACTAAACCTTTTCAACGCATCGCCGACAACCATATTCTGGCGATCCGTTCGGAAATAGAGCATGATCACCTGTAAATTGATGTCACAAATGATTTAAGGATTTGAAATAATTGTAAAATCAATTCAATTCAATTCAATAAAGCATTTGAATAGAGATTTTTATAATATTAACTATAAATTGGGCAAAATTGGGCATTGTTGGGTAAAATTGAATTCCTGGAGGTAAACTTTGTTCAATTTTTTTCGTTTCTTGTTTCAATTTGTCAAATTTTTGCTCCCAATTGCCGCTATTATATTTATATACATCCTAATTTATGTAATCAAATAAAACCTAGAAAAGACACATCATTGCTTTATCATTGCGCGTTGATTAAGAATTTCATCTTCAAGACTTCTACCCATAAGTATCTGAGCTCTATCCGGAACATAGCTTTTGTAATTCAATGCAACAAACGCTGGATATGTGAAGAAACAGGTTAAATAATATAATCGTACTAATTTTACCCTCGTGGCTCGCTCCAGATAGTACCACGGTAATGACATCTTTCAACAAAATAGATGCACACCTCTAACTTGGGTAATTAAACTAACTTGGGTAATTAAACTTGGGTAATTAAATTAATTATGTTTATGTTTTTAATTTTATCTTTTTAAAAGTGTTTTTAAAACTTTTATCACTTCCACAACTCATATTTGAAATAAAAATTTGTTTTTTGTTTGGTTAAATTTTTTGATGTTTCAAATTGGTAAAGGTAAAGCCATGTCAACGATAATTAATTAAAAGATCCAAAATTCAAGTCTTTTAAATTCTCTGTAGATCTTGATCTGTATATTGATCTGTATCTCAATCTTTCAGTTCTGTTCTTTTCTGGAGTAAACGGAGATGGACTAGAATTTGGGTTAAGTTAAAGAGAGTGAATCCTTTTTGATATCTATCTCTAACACCCCGACAACCCGACTCAACTCCTCCAACGTATTAGAGGGGAGTCCCTGTGAAATGATCGGCCTGAACTGCAATTGCATAGACCCGAAAGTTATGTATCTTTATTTAGTACGATAGACGAATAGATTGCAAATGAGTGAAAGGGAAAGGGGAGACTTCAAGTGAGAGCCTCACTTGTCCTCCTAGGCAATCCCAGGGACTTCTCGGCGATGAAAGGGATGAGTAAAGTCAAGGGATAAGTAAAATCAAATTTATCTAATAGACAAATCATTTAATAATAACAATAGTATCTAAAATTTCAGTTTGGCTCAGAGCTGACAGTTCTAGTTGATTCTTGACTTTATCTGTGCTACTCAATAGTGCAACGACTACCAAATGCCCAATAAATACTATCGTTTTGCTTTCTATGTGTCGATCTGTCTCGGCTTTCTATGTTTCTATGTTTCTATGTTTCTATGTTCCTATGCTTCTATGTCCCAATGCTTCTATGTCCCTATGCTTCTATGTTCCTATGCTTCTATGTTTCTATGCTTCTATGTTCCTATGCTTCTATGTTCCTACGCTTCTATGTCCCTATGCTTCTATGTCCCTACGCTTCTATGTCCCTATGCTTCTATGTCCCTATGCTTCTATGTTCCTATGCTTCTATGTCCCTATGCTTCTATGTCCCTATGCTTCTATGTCCCTATGCTTCTATGTCCCTACGCTTCTATGCTTCTATGCTTTTATGTTTCTATGTTTCTATTTGTCTATCGGTCCTTTTCGTGTGTATTTGTATGGATTTATGTGGATTAAACTTGGCGCACTCTATTTCATATCCTGAATCATATATATAAATATAGATGTTTTTTTTTCTTTTTCCCCAATAACTCACCTTTACATGAGAGATCAAATTTGTTTTTCGATCGATTTGCACGCCAGCAAAGTGCTCTCCCACATAGTACTCATCATTGTATAAATGCATTGTTGGGAATGTTAGTCTAAAATTTCAAAAGATGAATTGATGGAAACCTGTGCGAAATGTTTTGCTTTGTTTTTCTTTGTTATTGTCTTTGTTTTTCTTTGTTCTTCTTTGTTTTTTCTTCTTTTTTTCTTCTTTTTACTTTGCTACTCCATCGGTGCGTTGTCGTTTCGTTGAACTATCATTAAACTATCATTAAACTATCATTAAACTATCATTAAACTATCATTCGTTGAACTATCATTAAACAGTTTGTTGTTTCCCCAACAAACTTGCAACAATAACTTTTTTTTCCATGAAATTTACCGGAAATTCGGATGCAAACGCTGAGTGGCGTTTCGGTAGATGAGATTAAAGATCGGGATCACCTAAATGGTAAATAAAAATAGAATAATACATGAAATAATGCATATGATGGTGAAATCTTGTTTTAAAGTTTTAAAGTTTTAAAATTGTAATGCTAATGGGCTAATTGTAAGAGTGTGTTGGTTTTTAATTGGCTAGGTAATAAAGTAAAGAAATTGATGGCAAAGGACTTGGAACCGCGGCGAATTGGATCCTCGATCTTCTGTTTACCGGCCAATGCTCTACCGCTGAGCTATTGGCGCCTTCTTTGCCCAAGAGATAGGAAAGATAAGGAAAATAAAGATAAGGAAGATAAAGACAAGGAAGATAAAGATAAGTTACAAATCCATATTTCACAGTAAGCAGCATGGGATGGATAATGATTTTGATTACATTTGGGAATATTGACTGTATTCAGCCAGAAAAGTTTCGAATTCCTAAGTTTCAACCAAAGAATTGCAAAGATATTTGCAATTCTTTGATTCAAAGCTGAATACTTTTTGTCTACTGAAGCCAGACAAGACAGCTGGTTAACTTAGCACGATTGCACCACATATTGCTACAATACTCGTACTTTACATCCTTAAAATCCATTCAAATACAGAGACAGGAACAAGCTAAAGCCAAGGTTTTAGGCTAAATTGGCCAAAGCCAAAGCTAATGCCAAAGCTGATGCCAAAGCTAATGCCAAAGCTAATACCAAAGCCAATACCAAAGCCAATACCGAAGCTAACACCAAAGCTAATACCAAATCTAATACCAAAGCTAACACCAAAGCTAATACAAAAGCTAATGCCAAAGCTAATACCAAATCTAATACCAAAGCCAATGCCAAAGCCAAATGCTGAAATTTCAGATCGTTTTAATGCTCGCTTCACCGAGTTTTCAATAAAATCTACGCAAATCTAATGAAAATTTCAAAATCTAAAGAGTTTAGACAATTTTAGAGCACCAAATAGTCAAATCTGATTCATTTTGACACCAATTTCCGGCTACATTGAAAATTTCCGAACAAAAACACGAGGAATTTGCTTGTTAACCATTTTAGGGTAATAAGCAAATGTTAACCTCCTGTAAAGCTGTTGTTTTTTCAAATTTCTAAGCTTTTTATCCAAGTAGACGAATTGGCTTTGGCTTTTGCTTGACTTGACATCTTTTTCCTTTGACTTTTTTTTTGCAAAAGCTATTAGTTAAATTGTACAATATCAAGGAAAAGCTTAAAGTTGGTTAAGCCGATTTTTAGAATATTATATTAGAATTCAAAAACAATATTGAATTTGAATTAGATCAGATCAAATTGAGCTTCCATATTCTTAAGCTATATTCTTTCTTTTGAAACTTAGCCTTGTAAACAGCCTTGTAAGCAGCCTTGTAAACAGCCTTGTAAGCAGCCTTGTAAACAGCCTTGTAAGCAGCCTTGTAAACAGCCTTGTAAACAGCCTTGTAAGCAGCCTTGTAAACAGCCTTGTAAACCCTGTAACACCGAACGCCTGGTAAACGCCTTGTAAGCAGCCTTGTAAGCAGCCTTGTAAACAGCCTTGTAACAGCCTTGTAAGCAGCCTTGTAAACAGTTTCCCCGCCAACCTGATTATCGTTGCAAGCACCCGAGCACAGATCGTCGAACGAGCAATTTTTTGTTGCTTTTATCGTTTTCGCGCATGGGACCGTGAAGTTGAACTGGAAAAGAAAAAAAGGATTCAACGTTTGCAATAACAATTGCAATCGGAAAGAAGAACAATGCTTTACGTACCTGTAAATATTGTGACAATGCATCGATACTGTCCAAATGTTCCCTCCTCAACAGATTTCCCATATCGTGCGCGGTGATAGAGACCTAGAGATCGAGAACTTGGCAAAACTTTGTAAAGATTGAAACTTGAAAATAAGCCTGCAATAAGCATCTTCGTAAGCATGCAATCTTTGTCAACCCATTATTAACATTAAAAACCCTTGTATTTGAACTTTGAAACCTGGATTTTTAGTATTAGGTTGGTGATGAAGATCTCTTAACACGTTCGGGACGGTTCGGTCTACCGGTGAAGGAGATTGTGGTCCCCCGGTGGAGGAAATTGTGGTCCACCGGATGAAATCCCTCCCGCCCCAGAGACAGACGCTCTACCGACTGCGCTATAGAAGACCTCTATTGCGCGTATCCCAGTAAAACACCAGTTTTACACTGGGATACGCGCAATAGAGGTCTTCTATAGCGCAGTCGATAGAGCGTCTGTCTCTGGGGCGGAAGGGATTTCGTCCGGTGGACCACAATTTCCTCCACCGGGCCTTTTTGGGATCAATTCTTATCAAAAAATGATGTTGATATGAAATTTTCATCTAGCTGAGCTCCATCGTGGAAAATCGTGGAAAACAGACCATTGGAGAAAGAGAAATGGGGCGTTTTGTCTCACGAGTCAAAAAGAGCGGATATCTTTTTGAAGCAGCAATATTTTCAAAATCTGATTACAGATTCGGATTCAGCATGAAATTTTACATATAGGAGGTGTATTTCGGGGCTAATAGCTTTTGCGAGAAACCCCTCTCGTCTGCTGGGGCAGTAACGCAAAAAAACGACGTTAAAGATTGTTAAGATCGTTTAGATCGTTTAGATCTTTAACCTAATAATGAGATCTTTAAATGCTCACACTAAACTCACTTCGAGCCAAAATTTCCCGCCTCTATCATCGAAAAATTCATTGGCTACTTTGTGCTCGTAATGAGATGGAGCACCGCTCGGAGAGTAGAGATACCTGAAGTGGAGAAATGTTGAGTTTCAACTTGGAGAAATGCAAGAGCAGAACAAAGTATTTAATGAATCTCAAATGTCGATGTTAACTTTCATAATCCTTTTTTTAGTACAAAACAAAAAAATTGCTGATTTTTACAAGAAACCGACCAAATTCTATTCTCCTCATTCCATCGAAATAAACCGATCGCACTGAATATCGTCAACAGCACTGGGATCCAGAAAAAGAAAGCCGGGTGTCTGAAAATTTAATCTATTTGCTAAATTTGCACTTTCTTCGAAAACTTACCGATAAACTTGTACTCCGGTTTTGCGAAAGAATTCTGAGACAGCGTGCGAAATCACATGACCGGGGGATCTCATTTGAGACAAAATAATTGCCCTTATCGGGCTTTAGCAAGGTTTAAACCTGGAATTGAACTGAATCAAAATATTAAAGAAATATTAAGAAATAACTTTAATGAAACTGATCGAAATTAAAGGCACCCAGCTCAGTTTAGTGACGTTGAAGTTGAAATTCGGTAAAAGGAAAAAGCTTACATGAAAAGCTACCAGATAGCTTTAGCTACAAGGGTAAAGGAAAGCAAATCACTCAAAGCTTTATCATTGTGCCGTCATGATCGAGTGGTTAGGAGTCTTGTATCCTAGTTAGAGGTCTTGTATCCTAGTTAGAAGTCTTGTATCCTAGTTAGAGGTCTTGTATCCTAGTTAGGAGTCTTGTATCCTAGTTAGAAGTCTTGTATCCTAGTTAGGAGTCTTGTATCCTAGTTAGGAGTCTTGTATCCTAGTTAGAGGTCTTGTATCCTAGTTAGGAGTCTTGTATCCTAGTTAGAAGTCTTGTATCCTAGTTACGAGGTCACTGGTTCGATTTCAGCTAGATAATCTTGCCCTTTTTTCTATATACATGAGTTTTCCTCTTCAACATCTTTAGAATTATTCGAAGATTTGTTTGTGTCACATTATTCATGTTGAATAAATGTCTACTTTTTATAAAACATCCATCTAAGGGTCTCAGGATGAATGTTATAGGAAAGCTTTGTGATTTCAGAAAGCCTAAAATGGCTGTAAACTTTACTTTACTTGAAACTTTATCATTGCAAAACTTTACTTTCATTAGAAAGGTCAATGATTATTACAAAAAAAACTTTACTGCAAAAAAAAAGTCCAAGATGGAATTAAGGATAACGGTTCAAGTATGCCTGGCATTGAACTTGATCAAACTATTAATGGTGTATCGAAAAGGTAAAGGAAAGCAATGCCTGATTAAGTTGAAAGTTAAAACTTGACTTCTCCACAAAATCTAGCGAAACGGTCAAATCTAAAGAAATTTTTGAAATGAAAAGAAACTGATCGAAATTAAAGGCACCCAGCTCAGTTTAGTCGGCAAAAGGAAAAAGTTTACATGAAAAGCTACCAGATAGCTTTAGCTACAGGCTTTAGCTACAGGCTTTAGCTACAGGCTTTAGCTACAGGCTTTAGCTACAGGTTTTAGCTACAGGCTTTAGCTACAGGCTTTAGCTACAGGCTTTAGCTACAGGCTTTAGCTCTAGTAGATTTTTGAAGTTTCAAAAAAACTGAAGACCAATCATGAATAAAGACATGAATAAAGACATGAAATACGGTCGGGTCCTTGGTTTTCAAAAGTCAAATGGATTTCAGAAAAGCTTTAACTATAATAGTATAATACTAACTAAATTTAACTATAATGGTAACTGGGAAGATCTTCAATAAATGTTTACTAAAAATTTCCATAAAATAAACGAGTTTACTGTGACTAGATAGTGTTTAGAAATGATGTTGTGACTGAAGACTGTTGGTTTTGCACTTGACATGTAATCGAGCTATTTAGCTATTATATTAGCAATAAAATGAACTTGTAAGTAAGACTGATGGGATTGATTTATATCAAATTTGGTAAAGTATTTATGGCAAAGTATACTCATACTCATGACCAGGTCGGCTAAACTTATATCTTCCATGACTTGGCTTTTGGACTGACTGGCTGAGTTGACCGTATCTTGGAGGAATTTCTCTATGCAGGCTTAGGCTCTGACTGTAACCTGGCTATTTCAGCATTATTATATTAGTAATAAAATGAAGTTGCAAGTCAGCTTGGTGGTATTGATTTATATCAAATTTTTGGTTCATTTTTGGTAATTTTTAGGCTGTCCAGAAACTTTAAACAAACAAAATAACCCGTAGTTCAATTGATGCATTTGTTCGTTTTAAACAAAAGTACGAAAAGGAATAAAAAGACTTGAAAAAGACTGGATAACAAAATTCCAGCCAAAATTGATTGGGATTTTGTATTGGGATTGATTGGGAGATTGGGATTGATTGGGATATTGGGATTGATTGGGATATTGGGATTGATTGGGAGATTGGAATTGATTGGGAGATTGGAATTGATTGGGAGATTGGGATTGATTGGGAGATTGAGATTGATTGGGATCTTGTATTGGGATTGATCGGGATCTTGGGACCAAAATCTGGTATCAATTGTATCAATAACCACCCAAGCTCAACCATTGTATCTCCCTTCAATTCAATAATATCATATTCGGCTGTTCAGAAAGTCTTTTTGTTTCTTTTCGTACTTTTGTTTATAACCAAGAAATGCACCAATTGAAAAACGGTTTGTTTCATTCGAAAAGTCAATTATTTTTTTTGCAAAATAAGATTAAAACGTGTAATGTCTGAATTTCTTTTATAGATTTTTACTAAAAACACGGTTTTCACTCTCAAATTTGCTTGAAAATGAAGCGAAATTGACTTAAAAAGATGGGAAATTGAGCAATAAATCTTTTTTATAGATGAATTGATGAATTTTTATAGATGAATTGATGAATGAAAGAGAAAACCATAGATGAATTGATGAATTTGTAATTTTTTAACGGAAATATGAAAAGAAACAAAAAGAAACAAAAAGATTTATTCCTAATAGTGTATAGAGTAAAGCATAAGGCTTTATCCTATTGGAAATGAGATAAATATCGGTGTAACTCATTGGGTAGAGCGTTCACCCGATCAGCGAGAGGTCGTGGGTTCGAATCCAGGCGATCACGTTTTGTATTCTCAGCGCTAACCCATAGAAGGACCGGCGTAACCAACGCTAACCCATAGAAGGACCGGCGTAACCACGCTAACCCATAAAAGGACCGGCGTAACCAACGCTAACCCATAAAAGGACCGGCGTAACCACGCTACCCATAAGGCGGGTAACCAACGCTAACCCATAGAAGAACCGGCATGTCCAACGCTAACCCATAAAAGGACCGGCGTATCCAACGCTAACCCATAGAAGGACCATAGGAATGACGTTGTGACTGAATACTATCGGTTTTGCTCTTGGCATGTACTTGATCGAAGAAAAAGAGAGAATCCCTAAAGGACTATCACCCAAAACGAGACGATTGACTCACAGAAGATCAACGGGAAAGAGAAAACGATAAAGAAAGAAAGGAAAAAAACAGGTTGCAAGCCTTATGATGGCTTCAGTGATTCGCTTTGAGGAATTTGATTTTGGAAAAGAGAAGGAAATGCCATTTGGAGGTGTTTTAGAGATATTGGGAGCTTTGAATAGTGTACAGAATTGAGGACTACTCTGCTATCATGAATATCATGAATGCTAGAAGCTCAAGGAGTTCAGTTCTACTTTTTCCACAAAAAAATCTAATAGATCATACTAAATATTAAAGGAAATGAGGAATGAAATGTGAAATTCTTAGTTTAAAAGTATAAACCAATACATTCATTGAGTTGCTTTTAATAAAAAAACACTTTAAGATTGCTAAAAACATAGCTAAGCTATAGCTAAAAACGATTCAATTCAAAAAATTGAAGCTACAGTTTGCTTTCAAAAATTTCATAGTCAAAAACTTACTAAATTGACTTTTGTTTACTAAATTTATGAAGTGTAAAGTAAAAGAAAAGAAGCCGAATGAAAATTTGCGAAAAAATTGAGTATCGAGTGAAATGGTTGGCAATGGCAAACCAAATGGAGAAGCAGAGAGGCTCGCTTCAAGCCTGAGGGTGAATGACGGGATCTTCTTTTCTTTTCTTTCGTTCTTTTCGTCATTCACTCGATTCACTCACTCACACTGCAGATCCGATCTCATTTCTTCTTCTTTTTTCCTCCTTTCTTCACTTTTTAGCTCTTTCAACTCCAGCACAGACCTAAACACCGACAAAAAACACCAAACACTCAACGATTTGGCTCAATTGAGTGAAAAGATTTGAAAACTTACCGTATTTACTCTATTAGTGGGGTCCTCTCTAATAGTGGGGTCGTCTGGAGGGGGGTTGAAAAAATAGTGGGGTCCTCTCTAATATTGGTAACGAAAGTGATACATCAATTGTTGATCTCTTGGATTAGTTCTTTTACTGTTTGTTAATGTTTTGTTACGGTTAAAGCTAAATAAAATATGAAGCCAAACTTGTTTTGTCAAGAATTTCGGAGAAAAATTGATATCTTTTCAATTTAAAACTTTGGTTTTATGTTCTTTTAAATTTCTCTAATAGTGGGGTCCTCTCTAATAGTGGGGTCGTCTGGAAGGGGATTGAAAAAATAGTGGGGGACCCCACTAATAAAGTAAATACGGTAATTGATTTGGCAGTAATAGTTGAAAGTTGACTTAAAAGACTTAAAAGTTGAAAATCGATTATGAAATTTGAGTGAAAATAGCGCTTAAATAAGGTGAATCACGCTCAAAACATCCACTCAAAAGTAGATGTTTCAATTTTGCGGGAATTACTTCCTGCTGAATTGATTCAATCTAAGAACAACTCACTTATGCATTACGCTTGACAAGACTCTCAAATAGATCAAATTTAAAGTAAACCAAAGCTATCAAATAGATCAAATTCAAGTAAACCAAAGCTATTAAATAGATAAAATTCAAGTAAATCAAAGCTTTTAAATAGATCAAATTCAAGCTCAAAGCTAAAATTGTTCTCGAAGAACTGAGCATTAGAAGTCAGAAATAAGCTTTATTTGTGATAAATTTGAAACCGCAAAATTTTGCCAAAGTCATTTCAATATGATTTTTTAATTTTTTATGAGTCTGAGACAAAAGAAGCCCTAATGTGAAGTGTTGTTTTTGAATTGATCGACAGCTTTCCTTTACTGTTATCCTTTACTGTTTCCCTTTACTGTTATCCTTTACTGTTATCCTTTACTTTACACTTCATAACTTTAGTAAGCAATTTATCATGAGATTTTTGAACTTTAAAAAAAAGAACCTTAAAAAAAGAACTTTGAAAAATAGGATTCTAGAACTTTGAACTTTGAAAAATGGGATTTTTTCTAGAATTTTGATATCATTACAAACTCTTTAAACTTCATTCCACCTTCGAACGTTTTA